ATTTACTTGTGTAGCAATACCTAATTTCCTTTACATCGTGACGCATGGTTTATGCTTTAAGCGAAGGTCGATGTTAGACATTTAAGAGCTTTAGAGTCTCACGTTTTGTTCCCTAGTCTGTCCGTGCTTATGTTATCTTTGATCGTAGAAAAGTGATGAAGCCGATTGTTCTTTTTGTGAACCCCACAGCTTAAGGAATGCTGGCAGTCAGAGTTTACCCCCCTGTAAGAGACTCCGAAGTGTTCTTGGTTTTGTCGCGATGATTTTCCTCGCATCTATTCTTTTGAATTCTTTGTTTGCTTTCCTTTGCGTGATTTGTGATTTTTTTTTAAAGGGTTCCTCTATAAAAGATAAGGCGATAGGACAAAACACAGTTGTGCATTAATTATTGACGTTTATGAGTTTTGACCTTAAGTGATTTTGCTGTAGTGTTAATTCCCCAGACACTTGATCATTTTCCGCAAATGTTTTGAAACCTTTGGAAAATTCTAGTGGTGTTGAAGGAGGGTGTCTCTGGAGTTTTGACCTTAAGTGATTTTGCTGTATGGTTAATTCCCCCAGACACTCTCTCTCTATCTCTCACGCTTTCCGCAAATGTTGCGTGTATTCCAGAAACTCGCGTGCCCGCCTGGAAAATTCTAGTGGTCAGGGAGGCGACCTATCTACGTCTATTCGAAGGAGGATGTCTCTAGAATGTTCAGGAACGCTAAACATATCTTTAACTTTAAAGATCCTCGAGATAAGGTGAACTGATTGAGTGGCTTGGGAAAATTTTATTCATTGGTTTTCTTACCAACTTAGTTACTTCGGCGGCGTTCAAGCTTTTCTTCATCGTGATCAGTGTAATACGTTTGTGTTGAGATCTTGATGGATTAAGATAAACAGAACACGCACAAAGTCAAAGGTTCACGCAAACATGACCGAATCATGGCTACACAAAGATTTCACAAACGCATGCCTGGAGAATATGCTAGTTACCGCTGAGCTTGAAAATTGCAGTCCTTTGGCCTGGAGGGGGGGGGGAAATTTTCTGAATTCGATCTTTCTGGGCCAGAACGGCACATCTGATTCTTTTCGAGGTGTAATCAGAGCGGTGAGATAAAGGTTTAGAAGTTTTTAGATTAAAAAATATTTTTCAAAAGATATGAAAGATATGTAGAAAAAGCACCATAAGCAAAAGCAACCTGTCCTGTACGACAGCCATTGACGAATAGACGTCGTTAAACCAAGCCCGAAGTGATTATAGCAGAGGATCCCATGAGAAGTCAAAGGAGAAACAAGGTAGTAAACGGCAGAGCTGAATAACGAAATGCTACGTCGCAGGTATGCGGTCAATAACGCGAGCTTAAGCACAAAAGGTTTAAAATTCAACGAAATTTGCGGAGAAAAGAGGCGTTGACATTTAAAACCGAGGGATTTTGTTGTCTTTGAAGGCATTTTCCCATTTCCAGTGTCTTTAAGGAGAAAATGAATTTTTGGACATTTTTAGGGGGTGTACAAAATTTTAGGAGGTTGTTCTATTAAAGAAAAGCGGCCAGGGAAACAACGCGTAGAAGCAACAGAATAGAAATTCAAACATGCCAACGACTCAAAATCCGTATTCCGTGCCAAAGCCTAGTGCATTCGCCGACGTTATTCAGCTCTGTCGTAGTAAACTGCTTCAAGACCACGGTGCGATTGGTTTTAGTTTCGCATCTGATTGGCTGACAAAGTGGTGCGAGTTTTTTTTTTTTTTTGAACCAATCAGGGCTTATGGAAGCAAAACAAAAAAAGTAATCTCGAATTCTTTTCGATAATCAACTGATATTTGCTCTTCTGCTCAAGACTCCGAAGATACATTCGATCTGATGGTAAACACCATTTAGGCCAGATAAGAAAATGCTTCCTTAGGCCTGTGGCTCAACTCCGGGCTCTTTGGCTAGTTTATGCTCGAAGGTTTCCTTTTCCTGGCTTTAAGTTTCCCTTGTTGACAGTTTGCACGGAGGAGGAGGAGGAGGCCATTACATAACTTCTGTATTGTGTACCATATGTACTAAAGATTACATGCGGCACATAATTAATATGGTGTTGGTTGAAAAATCCGTGGGTTATTACCTTCGCCCACTGTTAAAAATACAGTAAAACAAACTAATTTGCGACTGCCTTGCTTTGCGGACAAAACATTTCTTTCAGTGATAATTACTTTCGGAGCAATTCATACTAGACAGAGCACGGGTCTCACTGGTGTGATGGCTGTTACGGCTAACGGTGAATATATTGGCCATATTACGGCAGAAATTCTTTTTAAGGTTAACTATTTTTACGACCATTGATTAACATTTGTCGATTTTTGCGCCAAACGGTTAAATTTCATGGCTAGTTTACGGCCATCGGTTAATCCCATTGAGAACCTGTAGACATTTGTCCGTCTTGGGTTCCAATGACTAGGTTTTTTTTTTTTTTTTTTCCAATGATAAAGGAAGCAATTAGGGGGCAATTGTGTCACTTGATTTAGTCTGGTCAAATCGGACAATTAAATTAATTATTCATTACCATTAGCAATATGTTTTGTATGTAGCTAATAGACTTTGTACCTGGTTGATATAGACTTCCATGCAGACTTTGTACCACGGCACTATGTACTAAGCTTAGCCACTAATTGCTGTTGTTGATTTCGCGAAGCAAATTGTGAACGACTTAACTTGTTTCAGTGAGGGACAGATAGCTATTTAGCGTTAGTTAACGTTTGAGGTGGCTTCTATTACTCATTATTGAAGTATTTTAAGAGGCAACTAAGTGCCTGTGCTATTTTTATCCAACCATTTAAGCCATACTATAAATAACTTAATGTAGACCTTTTATTTTGAAAAGAGGTACTTAGTTAGGATTATAACCGCAAGTAATGAGTGACTTTTGCGGTTGCTTAGAGAACAAAAGCTTTTCATTTTATTTTCTTCCGTTCGCTTAACTCATTAGAGTTGAAGTCTTAATATTCATATACGAGCACAAACAACACAAAAGCTCAGGAAGGGAGCCACGACCTGTAATGCAGTTTATTACATAAAACAATAGATGAAGAGCGAAAGAAAACTGTACAGCTCAAGCATTTAGATAGAATATTTCCAAAATGAATATAACAGAATTTCTTTCCGAATTTCTTTCCGGCGGAACTAATCTGTACGGCTCGAGGACAGTGCACAAAATCTACGATTAAACAACGAAAAATTGTTCATTCCAGATCAACTGAATGCAATGATCGCAACGGAATAGAGGAACTAGAAACTAAGCAAGCTTTACAAGTAGAAATAGAGGCCTCGAATAGAAAGATACGTCTAACAGACCAATCGGCGTTAAATCATGTGATATTCACAGATAATAATTCGTAAGGAGTGTTATCATTATAATTGGAACCATTGAAAACTACACAATCAAAATCCCAAGTTATTCGTTTTCCGTGGAACGCGATTTTTGCAGAAATGCATGCATTGCTGAACAAAAATCGATTTCTCGCTGTCTCCAAACTTGGCTGTTCGCTTCTGAGCTTATTCTGCGTATGAAGGAAGTTAGTTTAAGTATTTTATGCCAAAGAAACCGCACCTATTTAAACACTTTATTAAAATATGATCCATTAGACAGGACTATAAATAGTTTAAGGACGCTGCAATTGCTAGTTTCGCCCACGAAACCATGCGTGCCGAACGTGAAGACAGCTTAAATTCCAGGCAAGCTAAACCATACAGGATGCAGTAGCTCTGTGAAGTTAAAGGGGTTCCTTTTCAAGGTTCCTTGATGATTACACCTTGCTTCATACATAACAACTAGTTACTCAATAAACTACAGGGTGAACGTATCAAGATGTTCACTAGAGCAACGCAATCTAAATTCGAATAAGTATGATACGCTGCATAAGTTAAGGTGTTTTATCTAGTGATAATTGTGAAAACCATAACTCCTTCTAAGTTTTGCGTGCTTCCCACTTGGTTACTCGGTTGCGAAAGGAATTTACCAGTTGGTGGAGAAACCGAACACTTTGGAAGAGAGGCTTCATTTTTACTTACTGGAGAAAAAACTGTAAACTGTGAAACAGAGCCTTTAGTGTTAAATATATTTCATTCAAATGGAGTGTTTTGTTTACATCCTATTCATCTGATAAGCTTCATAAAAAAAATTCAGCTTCTTGCAGATCGTTATCACTAGCTTGTGATAAGAGAGCGATCGACACGAAGTTTACATCTATAACTTAATACGGTCACATTTCCATCCTAGATGTAGCTTCAACTTGCAGTTTTGGTCAACAACAGCAACCACCGGCAGGGCTTTTTGAAGTATTCTTTTGCACGGCCGATATGACGAAACTCAATAATTTTGGTTCATAATTTATTTATTGCACATGTAGCTGACCTTCTGCATCAGTCACAATTGAAAACGTTTTTCCAAGGAGGAATTAATGATCTTAAGTCAACAAAATATAATTGGGTGACTCACTGCTCGAACGTTGTGCATGTAAAACGTTTCAGACGAAAGCCAATACTGAAAGATTAATTAATTATATAACGAAGGGTATGTGACTGTTGAGCTAGGTTGCACTTGCATCCAACGTATTTTTGTCTCACTCGACTTGGCCTAATATCAAGATAAAGCTCATAAAATAAAAGTCCTTTGTAAAATTAGTACTAACAATTTTCCAGTTATGTTATGAAAATTATTTTCTGTCTGTACTTTGATTACGTTATCCATGTTGTAACGTGTTTCCCTTTTAGGGTCATCTGTACATATTTAAAACTCTCCACGGTTTTTCCTGGGTTAGTTACTGTGTACTGACTTGATCTGACTATCATCGTAAAAGCGCTTTGCTTTGGTCCAGATGAAAATCTAGCTTCAGTTACTTTTTACTGAGTTAATCCGATTGCCTTTGCAAAACCGCTTAGCTTCGGAAGACTCTGAGTTTTCGTTCTAGTTCTCCAATCAGCCAAAGTATTCTGTGTCCATTTATAACTTGTGATTTGCAAAATCAACTGATTTCATAGTTCCGTGGAGCAAAGAGTCGTCGTAAATAATCCATCGACGATCTCCGTGTTGGGAATCTCAGTCAACGATTTTGCATGTCTGAGACGAGGTTGGATGGCAACTTCTTTCAGTCTTGGTGCTGGTGTAGTCGAATGCCTTCTTTTCCTAATTACCTTCGTGGTGTTACTTGGTTCACTGATCTTCCTCTCCGCCAATTTTTTCTTCTTCGTGTCCTTGACAGAGTAGTGGTTTACATGTTCCAGAGTAACAGGGTTCTTTTGAGGAAGTTTATTCATCTTCTCGACGATTTTTGTTTCTCTTTTGTCGTCCGGAGAATGGTCAATGGAATGTTCCTCAGTTACAGAGTTCTTTCGAGGAAGTGATGTAGCAAATTTGTGTTGCTTCGTCTTCTTATCCGCAATTTTTGCCCTCCTTGTGTCATCTGAAGGAAAGTTATTTGATCGTTCCTGAGTTAAATATTTTTTTCGAGAAAGCGATATCGCAATATTCTTCTCCGCAAATTTTGTCTTTTTGTTGTCTTCTGAACAAGATGTAATTGATCGTTCCAAAGTTACACAGTTCTCGGGAGAAAGCGACACAGCAAAGATGCGTTTCGAAACAGACATCAGTGCTGCTTGTGTGCGAGACATTTCAATTGATCCTGTTGACCTCATCCTATCTCTTTTAAGTGAATTCAATTTAACCAATCCTCCCGCATAGACCAGTATCCTTTCCTTAGTAAGTTTGCGTTCGCACTTTTGTGTTTGTTCACCGTCTGACGTTCACAGCTGAATTGCTTAGCCGTCTGGTTTCTGGTTTACAAAAGTACTTTGCTCTCTTGGAGTCTCTTATCTGTAAACGGCTTGTGTTTTTGAAATCAATTGGCGTCAAATTCGGTTCACTTGAAGCAGAAGAGTTCTTAACTACACGACAGGCAACATAAATCTGTTATGATCGTGTTGGTGCACGGAAGCCCTTTTGTTCTTTTTCTAATGATTTACAATCATTAGCACATCCATCGCAATTACAGGTTCAAAAATAGAAACTAATTGCAGCGTCCTTTATTTAGCATTGTGTCGGTTAAACCCTTTGTATATATTCTAGAAGAGCCTTTGAACTCAAAATACGGACTGCGTGTCGGACTAGTTTGCACCATTTTCGTGATTATTTATCAAATGTCAGGTTAATATTGACACTTGTCACTGACCGGAACGTCGTGGGTCGTGAAATTACAACAGATTAAGAACTGCTAAAAAACATATGATATCGTTTTGAGCTACAAACTTGATGCATTGTGAAGCTAACAAGTCAAAATTTCCGGTTGCTTTTCTTCTTTGATATAGCCCATTAGACTCATTAGCAAGGCGTACACTGAAACTGTAGTTTGACACACAGAGTGTAATGTGAAGACTTCGAACTATTTTGATCATTTTTTTTTAGAAAAAAAAAATGATGGTCAGTTATTATTTCGAGACGTATTAAGACCTTTCATTATTCTTTTCAGATCTCCTAAAACCATGGCCACCTGCAATGAAATGTCGTTTACCATTAACTTTGCTGCGATTTTTCCCGTTTATTATGAAGCATACACGGTCAACGGTCGTTACGGTCAGCCATTACCTATCACCGGAGATGGGGTCAGAAGATTTTTGGGGATCACATGGTTTTCAGGGGGAACAAAGGGGATCAGTTGTCGCTAACAGAGTTTCATGACCCTTTAACACCCAGATCAAATTTGTAATTCTCCTTACTGTCAACCATACAGTTCTTATAGTGCTATTTCAGAGAATTTAGTATCGGATCAACTCATTATCCCCAAATTGATATTTTTCTTTATTCTCATCACTTATCTGGTTGATATTGTCTTGATATTGTAAGGAGAAATTCTGTCTTTGTCACTCAAGGGAGTTAAAGGGTTGAAAGAGGGACTCTTTTTGAACAGCTGATGAGGGGGAACACGAGCGTATTGCGCAGCCTTACGGGGAAATTAGGTAGATCTTATCAAGATATTTCCAAAATCCTTCTCCCCACCCACAAGGTGATAATTATAAATGTAAGCCGTCACCTGCTGAACCGCCATGGGATGTCTGAGATAACGTGACGAAGTCCATAAATAGGAGCGACTCCGATTTTTTAGTTGCGAAGCATACATTCAAACGCATACTACTTCACTCCTTCAAGATTTCAAATCCTTTCAGTTTGCAGTTCACATTCACTTGAGACACATAATTGAATATTATGTGTCTAAATTGTGTTCAAATATAAACATTTGGAAAGAGAAGACAGTACATTTGTTATTTTATTTGTCCAAATTGTCCGTTGTTGCGAGACGAGCACAAGCGTTGATACCATCTGAGGTGTGCGCAATGCTGTTATAGCGGAGGTCCATAGTAGAAGAAATGTTTCTTATGTATGGCTTAGTTTTAGCAGGGGATGTAGCTTCCGTCCGTAATAGTAGCTTACGTGTTGCCGTACCCTCCCTCCCAAGGCGAAACGGAGGCGAGGGAACGTCTACTCCAACCTGACACTTAATCGTGTTCCGTGATGTCACTCTTTAGCAAGAAAATGTATAATGACTTTTTATTGGTTAACCCCTTTTACCAATTCTTTCAGCAATTCTGATTGGCTAGAGTTGGAAATCTATTTTTTCCAAACTAATGAACTAGATGGTGAACAAAATGCTTTCATGGTCAACTTTTCAGACAACAGCGATCTACGACGAGGTTTTAAGCCATGTTTGCGCGACTTTTGGGAGAGACACATTTCAAGAAGAACAGCAGAAAGCCATAGAAATGTTTTTCGAAGGTAACGATGTCTCTGTTTAGTTACCAACTGGTTATGGAAAATCAATAGTATATCAAGCAGCGTAAGTGATCGATCGTCTCTCTTCTCTAGAAGAAACCGGTCACTATACTTATTGTGCCGCCCGTTTAAAGTCTCACAGAAGACCAGGTGCACTATCTTAATGCAATTGGGCTAAGAAGCTATGGTACTGCGAAGCTATCAAATTAAAAGCTAGTTGTTTCTTGCAGCGATTCTTTCGACTAAGAAAAGAGTCGCTCTTTCTTCACGCTCGCGGCGTAACTATATATCTCTCACAGAAATCTGTAAAAACCTTAAGATTCTGCGGAAATGTTCCAACTTTTTCCGACGACCGTAGCAATGTACAAATGCAAACAGTAACTGCGTGGACGTTGAAGATCTAGTTTCGCAAGCGCGGTGCTAATCAAACGTCATCCCCTTCTCACTCTATACCAAAAAATCGCCCATAATCTTTTCCTATATCCTTAAAGCAATGTATATATTTGAATTGGGACGCTGAATTGCAAATTTATCAGATTATGGAAAATAAATTCACTTCAATAATGTTGTTTTTCAACCTTCACGCTAACACGTGCCACTTCGCAAAAAATATTATCAAGTGACACGGATCAGGATTAGCGACAGGTTTGCGTAGACGATCCCTCGCTTCCGTTTCACCTTGTTGAGGGAGGGTACGGCTATACGAAGGCTACCGTAGTGGCGTCTACAATTCTAGTCTTGGAAATTCCTTTTCAATTGGAAACGAAACTTTTACTTCAAACTAAAAACGTGATTACCGATAATTTTTCGTAAATATTGCACGCATGAGATATGCTAATTAAGCTTAAGAAATAGGAAATGTAAGCGTTCTGTGTAATAACAGTTTTGTGTTCATTTTTTATTTATTTCGTGTCCTGTTTTTCAGTGTGATTTGCCGTAACAGAAGGAACATTCCCGTAATATTTTAGGTGTAACTAATCACCGTATTTTTCTCTTTTTATCGTATAAAATAAACATGTTCTATGTTTGCGTAGGTCTGCATAGCAATAGGTCATAGACGAGGTCAAAATGCGGTCAAAACAGCAGTGACACACTCGGCTGCACCTCGTGCGCCTTTGTTTTGTTCTTACCATTATCTGACGTCATATTTGATCTAGTACAACATGGCATCATGGAATCTATAATAAACTAAACGTATACTTTTTTTTTTGTTTGGATCAAACGTTCGGGTAAGTTGAGCCACAGTTGTCGTGCTCTTTTGGCTGAAATAGGAAGTTTTCGATTGATAGAGTTCGTATGCGTTTTTCAACCGTATTAAACTTAGTTAAAATGTTAAGATAGATGAAATTAAGAGATCCTCGCAGCTAAGAACACTACTGAAACGAGTAGTTGTAAATAGGACCTGAAAAAAATTCAGGCCCGTACGGGATTTGAACCCATGACCTCTGCGATACCGGTGCAGCGCTCTACCAATTGAGCTAACAAGCCAACCAGGCCAGGTCTTACTTACAACTACTCGTTTCAGTAGTGTTCTTAGCTGCGAGGATCTCTTAATTTCATCTCTCCACCGCAGTGCAAATATATGAATTTTCATATATCTAAAATCTTCATGTTAAGATAGCTGTCGCTTTCGCGGGCTTTTCAAAGTCCAACTCGTCTCTTCATATTCACAGATACGACCAGTAGGTACCTTTAAGTTTCCTAAAGCGAAAGGTGCTTATAGCCCCCAGATCATTCATCGTCATATCGACTAGCTGAAACGTGTTTATCGTAAATTTTTAGACGTCGGTCATAGCTGGACATAAATAAGCCGCAAGGTCGCCATCGCTATGATTAATACACAGAATTACGGCTTTTTAACTTGTAAAGTTGGAAGACTCTAACAGTTTCAACCTGAGCCGATCGCGGTTAAATCGGTCGAACCAAAGACTAGCTGGCCTAATTTGTCCCTGAAACGGAAAGCACGCAAGTAGCGTTCCTAGAAGTCCAAGAGAGAACCCTACGAGACGATCTGGGAACGAACGAAGACCGCACATGAAGATGATGTGTCCTTATTAAGTTAGGCGTCTACGGTGATGTATTCTTTTTAATTCCCATGTGTCAACACGTTTATTATTTAATCAAGATGTTATGTAATCAAGATGTTAAGTAATCAAGATGTTATGTAATCAAGATGTTATGTAATCATGGTGTAGTGATTCACTGGACAATTTTTCAGGTTTTTTTTTTCAAGCTGTCATTAAATAGGTTTTGCGTAAAACTTCCAATGTAGTTTTCCTATTAGAATCGATGCTGCGAGGAGCTGCAGTCAGTCAAACGCGTTTTGCACGTGTCCGTTCACGTGCGGCATCCGCGACCAGTTGACCTCAGTTGACTTTTGAGTGTACAGGCAACCTTTGGTTAATTAATATCTTTGACTCACCTTTTGGTCCCCAGAGTCAATCTCCGAATCGACTAATTTTTGAGGTTTTCTTTAAAAGATGTTAAGGAATAGCTAGTTCTTGACTAATCAAAGCCAAGCTGTTACAAAGATGTCCGTTTTCGGGTGGTACAGATTTTAGATAATTTGGATGTATTGTGTATTTTTCTCCAGGGTGTTTCTCGAAACCATAGCGGAACTCCGCTATTAAGGTTTGCGGGATGTCTGCAAACAAGAGTTTCACTGTAAAGAGGTTTTGAATATTTACCTTCAAATTATTGTTAATATTTTGCCGGGCGCAGTACTTCATGGCGAGCATTAAAACCAAGGACAACCTGACCAGGCATTTACTATTGCATTTAATTAGGAAATACAGAACGTTAGTTTGTCACTGATATACCACAGATTAACATCAAACCTATAAAATAAGCGGAATACAAAGGCTTAAAAATCCAGGCTCCAAATCTGGAAAGCCTTTCCATCAAAGTCGGTTTGCTTTCTGTGGGAGTACGTTCGGCGCGACAAAAGATTACTGTGAACCAATCAAGCATAAACAAACACCTAAAGGACGATACAAAGGCTGTCTTTGAAGCTCTTCATGTTATTTCAAGTGTACCATATTTCTCACAATGAATGTCTGAAAATACTGAATGTTAAGAACTCTTTTGTACTTTAGCTGGTTTAATTGTTATATTCAAGCTAACTGAGTAAGACAGGATTTTCACATTTGCTGGTCCGTTCACATAAGTCCGTCGCATTTTTACTTTGGACCAGTCGCTGCACTGAGCTCTGGATCACATGTGACACATTGGTCATTATCACAAACTCGCAAAGAATTCGCTTGAATTATTTGATTCTCTGGAAAAATGACGAAGGAAGGTTTTAAACGTAGACTTTCAATAACCATTTCCAAGTTTAGCCGCGGCATGTTCGATATCAGCTGCGCGAGTAAGTCAAGAGCTCAGTTTTGTGTGGAGAACGACGAGGTTGTTATTTGTAAACGAAAGAAAACATCATGTGGGAGAACACGTGAAGATTCGGATTGTTTGGTGGAGAAGGAAGAGAAGGATTTCCTAAATACTCTCCAGCCTCACCGCTTACGAAGGAGTGCCACATTTACAGGGTTTAGTGTTCACATGATTGAGCGACTGAGGTGCATCGCAGAAGTACGTGAAAGCCACGGAATCGTTTCTCGGACGGATGCAAATTTACCAGAATCCCGAAGAAACAGGTGTCATTCGTTTTCTGGAGTAAAAAACAAAAAGGTTTTGGATATATATGACGGGAGACAGGAAACTTATATAATAGATGGGTTACTCACAACGACACTGTGTTCTACAGAGCTGTAAAAAAAGGGAAATCAGTAACTGCTGCTTGAACGATCGTTTGTCATTAAGTCAGTTAGCCAGTTGAGTTTTTGAGCCAGCAATTTGCAAACAGTGCGCAAAAATTTGGTGCTGCACGTAAGGCTCAGTAGTCTGGTTAAACGTATTGTATATGTACAAAACTTGGGAACTTACACGAACCGTTTTGTTGTTACCTTAGTCCAATGTTTGAGCACCAACAAGGTGTTTTAATCATTCATGAGAGAGATAAACTAAAAACCAGAAAGAGATGTGAATGGAAAAGCCAGGCAACAGTCTGCGTCAGTGAAAATGGCAAGTAGCACAGAGAAGATGTATATTTAAGAGTGTAAGCTTTTAGATCTCATAAGAACTGTCATAGCAAAAAAAAAATGTAATTAACAAATGCATAGTTTTTTTATCACATCATTTGTTTTTGGCTTTTGTTCTGTAATAACACAATCTTCAGTTGTGTGTTCTGTAATAAGAGTCTTTAAGAAACTACCGAAATGGTCTCAATTTAAAATCACTGTGCAAATACTGATAATTAATTGAACGAGTAGCAAAGGAAAAAAAACCTGGAGTCTTTACAGAATATTTGCTTCTAATGTCGAAGAATAAATCAGGAGAGTTGTACCCACGATGATCGTACAGATTTTTATTGCGTAAGTTGTTCCGTGAAACAATGTGTAAGCCTCCAACCGATTGATGGTCATCGTGGATGCTGCAAGTTGCTGAAGGATGTTTTGAAGATTTCATGGTGAATAGGTCTAGAGAAAATGTAAATTTGTTACTACAATCCAGTTTTGGTCATGACAAGGGTTTTTGCAGTAAATAATCGAAGACCATTTGGTATCTTATAATATAAAAATTTTTTGCCCTTGACCATAAATCAAAATAACACTGACAAAAGTGAAACAACCGCTAAATTCCCCTTCGTAATCTTCAGTAGTGTGTTGCGAGTGTCCAACGACATATAAGCTCGTGAATAAATTTGCAGGAAAAACTGAGTCAGTGGCACTGAACACAACAAAAGAGTCTCGATGGGGTGATGGCTTTTACGGCTCACAAATAAAATTTTGGCCATTCTACGGCTAACGGTTAACCCATTATTTTGCGGTTAACTTCCTTTACGCCTAACGGCTAAAGCTTGTCAACTCTCTCGGTTCTAACGGTTTAACTTATTGACACCCTTCGACAATTCTATCCTCACCAAAAGGGGTTTGTCTTGCATTCTTTTAAACACCACCATTGTCTTCGTATTTGTTACGTAATCATGGTGTGTTCCAATATTTGATTTAGTTCTGGATGCTTTATCGCAAAGAGGTATCAACGAAGTTTGAAAAATACTTCCAATGTAGTTTCCATGCAAGAATCGTTGTCGCGAAGAGTTGTAATCCGTCCAACGCTCACCGCTCACGTGTACTGTCACGTGCCATTCGAAAATCAGTGTGTTGGTTTTGTCTTTTGTGTTGTCTCCATTGTTTTTGCTTCTTCCAAAATGTCAGCCTCGATTTCAGTGTCAAGTGTCATCTTTTGAACTTCCTTCATCCTTAGCTATCATTTTGCCTCTGGTTAATTAACACCTCTTGTAATTTTCTTTTTGTTTCATCGAACTAATAATTTTTAGTATCGCTTATTAAGTTGAAGAAAGTTCTGTACCGCAGGGCTAAAGAAATTGACTCGAGATAGTGGCAAAAAGTTAATGTAAATAAAGAATTAGCTGATGGCAAGCATTAGGAAAGGTTTAAAGTGATCTCGTTTGGTACTGTTTAAACCATTTCATCGTAAAATCACATGTTTTAACAAAAGTTACCCGCAGTTTCCTGGGAAAATGTTCAACTCTAATGTAATCTGCAATTTGAAAGTCAGAGTTCTGTGGCACAGAGACAGTTGTCTCTCTTGGAATCAGAAATTTTCCAAGATTTTTCACAATTTAAATGGAATAAATTTTATTGGACCTCTGTATGGAAATGAAGTGAAGCAATGATCATCGCAAGTGTGCTGGCTGCAGTTAAACTGAAATATTGTAATTTTGTTTTACCATCGTTTTCAAATGGATAGCCCATAATAAGTTTATATGGTAAGGTTAATATTCATAGTCAGTATAGTACATACTAAGACAGTGGATAATGTTGAAGGCGCGCTCTGATTGACCACAAACTCTGAATATCCTTTGCTATTGACTTTCGAGGAACTCGTGCAGGACTTGTACCCGAAAATACTGTAATCTTTGCATGAATATATAAGTTAAAACCGTCTTTTTTATTTGCTCCCTCAGTGTCGGTGTCTAGAGGTAGATTTTATTATCCACCAGTAACCACCTCCACTTCAGTGAATAGTTGTTAGTAGGAATGCAATGTCATAGATGCTTTATTGTGGATATCATATTCCGTGCGCTGAATATTTCATGGAGTAGACTTCTAACCTTAATGAACCACTGACCAACTTTGGAATGAGCTTTTCTGCAGTCGAGTCATGTCATACTTAGGGAAAGTTCGAAACAAAAACAGAGATAAAATTTCCGCACAGCCCCATACTTCATTATACATTCAGTTCTTGAATAGAGAAAACAATGATTAAAACAATACATTGCCATTGGGAAAACAGATTTGTATTACAATAGTATGGGGCTGTGCGGAAATTTTACCAAAACAGAGATAGAATCAATGTTGATGAGGCAATTTAACGCTTCACACGTCTCGTAGGCGCGAACGAACATTTTGTAGCTCGTAAAGAGAAAAATGCGGTTGTTTAGTGAACTCCCTTGGGCTTTCTCAATCGTTCATTTACCGCTTTCGATCAATCGAGGCATCTATAGTTGTTTTTAACTGTTTTTCTGAACCGGAACACCCTAAAAAAAATGACGATGATGCAATGTTTGAAATGTCAAAGAATAGGTGCCAACCTCGTGGCCAATCTTACAACTTGGAACTGAAGTTTTTAGTGTGACATTCGGCGCAAGCCACGTGATATTGATGTGTGTAAGTTCTCCGTGTTGTGTTTGGCAGCCAAAAAAAACATTTGGCTTGTCTAAATAATCTTCAGTGGACCTGCTTGCTAATTAAAGTAAACCTCTTTCCGTCATAAACATGCAGAGAAAGTCAAGTCTGCTAGAAATTCAAATGATAAACTAGTAAATGAACAATGAATTAATGTCTTTCACAAATAGCAGGTGACTTAGCATGACTGGAGGCATTTACATTAACATAACTTTCCTTGCAATATCTGCAACAGACATAATCGCAAGCTAACATAACTGCAAGCTGCACGAATGAATCTCTTACAGGATTGTAATAGGCTCAACTGCAATTTGACTTCTATGAGTAGTTGAAAACAATTTTGATAGCCTTCCATGCTATACAGAGGTTTAGCTTGTCTTTTAATGAATGCAAACGTTTGACTGCGTTTACTTCAGTCATGAATAAATTTGATGTATTGTTATAAAATATATGTTTATCATCATATTGTGGGTATGATGATAAAGGAATTTATTTTAACCTCACAATTTAGTGTCACCATCGAAAATTCTATTTACTTTCTGCATAATTAGTCATTTCAGTTCATGCGAAGAAAAGAATATAAGGCTGCATTCATTTTAAGGATATCGTAGCATAGCACTTTCTACTAAGTAGTTCTTTATTCAATTACAGGGCACATGAACCAATCTCTTCTCAAGATTTAATCTCTTTTCTAAATGATTTGACCTTGTTCGAAGCCGACTCATCGCGTGCACTCATGCGCAAGCCAAAGATAGATCTAATTATTATTTACCTCGAGACCATGATAACCAGCCTATATTTTGATCATAACGTTTTTATTATACATGATCTGATTATAACTCTGTGGAACAAAACGTTGTTGTCAATAACCCATCTTCAAGTTGAGTTTCTCCTGAGTTGCATGTTCCGGGAACCGAGCTGACCCTTCGTAGTTTCTGTTCGTATTTGTCATCAACCGTAATCACTTGTAATGTTTGCTTAAGAAGTGCTAAAGAACTCAGAGAGCTGCTTCGTTTTCTCCTTATTTCACGCTTCCTTTCGTCCTTTTCGTCGGTCTCTGTAACACTTTCCGATATATTTTCGATCAATATTTGGTCATTTTCTTTGCCTACGCCATCACTCAGACCCAAAACACGGTTTCGTTCCGTTGGTTCGTCCACATTTGTAAAGATACACGTTGTTTCCGTAGGTTCTTTCAATTCTGCTGGGTTTCTATCCACTCTGAAGTTGTTCTTGCAAATTTTTATGGCGTCAGATTTTCTCAATTCTGTTAAATTGCTATCGAAATAACAAACAGATTTTGACATTTCTACCAACTTCTCGTGTAACCGAATTCGATTGCGCTGTTATGAGTAATTACAAGGTCCACTTAACAACTATGCAATTAATAATGAATTCTTTTATTTCGAAAATTTTCTTAGACTACTCTTATAATTTAAGTTAACCTTGATGTCAAATGCTCTTTTGTCTCACAAGAATTACTACCAGTAGTTAACCTTCTCTGTGAGTGATTTGCCTGGTCAGTCAGCAATCTCTCGGTTCCTCTGTCCTTCAACACCTCGATAGTGTGCTTTTGTGAACGTGCAATGGTTTCATGAAAGCGAATAAAAAGCGTTTTAGAAAGCGCAAGCGACAATGGATTTGTCACAAGGACAAACAGTTGTGGCAGATGATTAATCATTTTTTTGTCAAGATGAATGCTCTATTGTATTCTTGTGAAGCTATAATTAAATTGCTTTTTTTAAAGGTAAATTAAGAAATATGAAAATGCGCGATTCTGGCCAATCAATTCAGGATACAAGAATTTTTAAAGGCATAGGAAATGTCAGAAAAAGGGCTCTCTAATGCATCCTGTCATTTACATATAAAAGAAACGTTGGAACAAGTCCCTCAAAACTGACATCGTGATATATCCTTTCTTGTCGACGACAAATATAGACTTCGGCACTTGATGTGCGCTATCTCTTATTGACATCAGCGCCCAGTTCAAGGACGGATAACGATATCCAACAGATAAAGTGCTATCCAGCGGAGAAGTGTTATTCAAATTTACTGCGCTATCCGCCGGATAGAGATTTATCTGATGTTGGAACAACCGACGCCGTTACTATGTCCAATATATGCAGCACAAGCTGCTCACCAGGGAATTTTGACCATTAATTTCTCAGATTAAGTTTTCACATTGTTTTGAGCGGTTCAGTCAACCCAGAAACTCTCTTTCGTGATTTCTGAGTCATTGAAGATGAAGCAGAAAGTTCTCTCTAACTCTTTTTTTATTTTTATCTTTCCTGGGTAGTTAGATACAAACTGAACTGCGAAAGAGCGGAAAAATACTTGGAGACGCGCCCTGAAGGCGTAATTTTCAATTGGATGAAACTAAGGTCACGTGTATCTCGAACAATCAAAAGATAGGATAAAATAAGTAATTATAATTCTATTCAGAATAACTACCGATTTTGTTTGATAGGCATTTTTGTATCGTTGATAAATAATTTGAATCTGTTAAGTTAATTAGAGATGAGAGACACTTGAACATGAGAAAAGAAGCTGCTGACTGTGAATTGGAGCAGATACTGTTAGCAGAAAATGTTTTTGTTCTCATTGTAATCTTTAGGAGCCTCAATTAGTTTTATGAAGATCTAAAAATCCATAGATATCCAGAAGAAGTCTTTGGAAAACTATGTCAGTGTCGCTACAGAACTTCAGCTTATTCCCTTCCCTTTGACTTTGCTGATGATTGAAAACTCGTCTTCGACTAGTCTTGAGCAGTTGGGCTTACCACCGAAAAAAAAGACACAGAGAGGCGGAGTTTCAATTCACGATGACTAATTTGATGTTGCTCAATATAAGATTTGCTGACAGGCTTGACAAGGCAATATGAAAATACTTAATTGATGTTCCGTTTAGAAAGATGCGGCAACTGATGGTTGATACGAAAGGCGGAGATCCAAACTTATAATAATATTAATTACATGGCACAACTTTGTGGTGTGCTTTATTATTGCGAACAACTGTTGGTTCATTGTATTATTTGGATCGCCTAGAAGTAAAAACAAACACCCTTTGCTTCAAAGACACAAGTGCTTGTATTGTTTACTTACACACAACAAAACATTCTTAAAGAATAGGATCCACTTGATGGTGTGACGTAATCAATAAATAATTACCTAAATGTCGTCTTGCTGTCTCTCAGAGCCTTCGGCAATGAACTAAAAAATTGTTCCACACTAAGAAGTTTAGTACGTTAGAATCTAGTATTTCTCAATTTCTAGTTATCTTACCGATCCTATCGCGAATTTTTACAAGGCAATTTTTTATCAAAAGAAATACATGTTATGAAACCCAGCCAAAGTCAATATACTTTCACATGATAATTAAGGATAATGGAATTATCAGACCGTTTGTTATCACAGGTTAAACATATCGTCATAGGTAATTAACAAAATGTTATCCGAGACATTTATTTCTAAAGAAATGCAGAGTTCTTCTCAACCTGAACAACTTTAATTTCTTTCTGCCAAACAGAAATCTCAAAATGATCTAACATGTCTAGCTGCAAACGAATTGTTTATTTCTTACGGTCAAGAGCTTTATGAGAAATCTTTTGTTTTCTTTACACATTAAGTCGGGCCCCTCAGGGCGAAATGTCTTTCGTGACTGATTTTGTTGTCATTTTCGAGAAATATTACACAGCAGGCTCTAGCTTCACGGCGGTCTTAATAAGCTTATCTTTCCTGGTGGTATTGCGTTTAAGTAACGTTGAACCGTTCCGTGAAATGTTTCTTAAACTCGTGGGAATTGAAAGGAAGGGCATATAAAACCGTTAACAACACCATTGAAACATTCAGCTTCAAATGATAATCACAATGTTTCCGTTAAGTCGCTGCTGTCCGAGTCAGAAATATTGTAAGGAATCAACACAGACTGGGACTCCCACAGAACATCAGATGTTTATCCAAGCTTCCAAACGATTTTCTGACTACGGTAATGAGCATTCATGATTACACGCAAAGGCTCATTTGTGTGGGTTTCATTTTTGCAGTTCAATGCACAGGTTTCACTCTGAAAAAAGCCTCAACTGAATCCCTCAACCACCGAGAGTGTTTTAGTTGCTTAAGACGAGTAACGGTCTCAGAGGAAGTATCATGTCATTCCATGGTGCTGGAATCTGATGGTTAATATCAAACCCGCTTTCCACAACGGAAGCAATCTTCTTTCTTCATGCTCTTTTAAGCTCTTATGGCTATTCTTTCTACTTCAAATTTTCATAACATGTCATGCTCAGAGGCAAAATAAGTATGCTAAAACATTTACGCCAACATATTTTGGAATCCAATCGCTACATTACGCTATCAGTGTCCATCAAAGCTCCGTTGTACACAGTGATGTGGTAAGCATTCCATCCGATGGATCAACTTCGGTGTGTCTTTCATCGTGGACAGACTTACCACCATAAGAGTTCCTTCTGAGTCTTATTTCCAACTCTGGAACAACTAACAGTCCTTCGATGTTTAGTTTGAGTAGTGAGCTCGTTCTCCGCCTCACTAAGGGTGGTTTTGCTGGGGACGTTGTGTCGGCTTTCTTGAGGAATATTTGTTTCTGAAGGTTGGATTCTTCCTGTTTTGATTTGTTACCCAGTTCGTTACTGTTTGACAGATCCTGGCCGTCTAAACTCAATGTAATGGTCACCTTGTCACCCGGGTGAATAACAGGACTGCTCATTGTTCTACAGGCCTCGATAAATGCTGGTATTAAACAGGTCTACTTAGGGATATTTCACCTTAGCCTTTCGTCTGTACGTGATCTATAACTTGACGTGATGTCGACCATGTACCACCTTAAACTTTGATAATTGTTGATTCTCAATTACTCCGCGATATGAAATCCTTTCTTCAAGCGATCCAAACTTTTCCAACCGACATCACATCAGAAAGGCGACACTATAAGGTTTTGTAGATGAATTACCAAAAATGATGTCCTTTGCACCTTTTCACCGCCTCGTTAATGTTGATTTTAATCAGCTAGTAACCACAGTTCCACTTTTAAGTGGCTTTTGGCAGTCATGTGACCAATCCCTAGCTCTGACAGATCGTGTCATCTGCAAAGTGACGTGACTTGTAGAAAGATAATGTTTTCTTAAAAAGAAATAAATATTTTCTTAAAATATTAAAATCGTTGTAGGACTTGAAAGTAATTCAAAGCTATTTAAGAATACCTTTTGTTTGTTGAACAAGAGCATTCCGAGACGCTTGCATATTTGAATAGTAATATTGAAATTTTTGGCCAATGTCTCTCCTCTATCTGGATGTGTGACAATGTTTAATTGATGAATACTTATTTATGTTAACGAGGGTAACTAGCAAGACAGCAGTGTAGTGTTTTGTCTTCTCAATAAATAAAAGTCGCGTTCCATTCATTAGATTATCATAGAAAAGAAAACAGAATTGAGTGCGACTACATGCAGACAGCTTTAAAAGAAACTAAACTTTCTTATAAAGATTGGATAAAATTATTTTTGATTTCTTCCAACCATGGCCTAAGAGCGTTTGCATACTTGCTATTTGCATGATTTTATTGGATAATTGAATATTTAATTAATCAGGAAATAACTGTAACGCAAAAAGCATGCATTAAAATAGCACTCAGTTTAAGTGCTCTGAAGAGAAACCGAGATTCCTTTTGGATGCGCAAATGTAACCTAAAAATATCCTTTAAGGACAATGAGTGACAACAGATTAAAACTAATTTGATATTAAGTTCCGGCTTTGCCGAGCTCAGTTCTTTTTTCCTCATATTTCGTTCCTTGAATAAATTATAATTTTGTTATATCTGTTTTTCAATTTTTCTCTTCGATTTAAATTTGCATGGGATGGAAAATATGGAAGCGATCCTTGCAGTTATGAACACTAGTGGAAATAAGGCCTCGTACGGGATTTGGACCCATGACCCCTACGATACCGGTGCAACGCTCTACCAACTGAGCTAACACGCCAACTGGGAACTGGTTATTATATGTTGGTTCCAAATAAACCCTCGAAGTGGTGCATGACAAGGAAATCTTGGGGAGTTAATTAAACCTGACACTGTGAGTCCTCCACATGGGCAGGCATTATTTTTAGCTTTATTAACAAAATGTTTAAAAGTTTGTTTTTAGGATAAAACGATTTTTTTCTCTGCAATGCGTTAAGTTTATAGTTAACTTCCTCGTAACAACAGTGAATCTTTATCCTAATCCTCTCTCTCCTTATTTAAGCTTGGATTAAAAAAAATTTAGAAGAGGTTACAGATTTCTCACGGACACGAACCTGATGTTTTCAAGTGCAGATTCAGTTGTAACAAGTGGAAAATGTAGCATTTGTATTTTATCATGTCTAAGTGCTTGTGCACCGACGAAAGCAATTTTTCATTTCCTATTTATGATTGATACTTTCAGTTGCAGGGCGCCAAAAGCTGAGACATGATTAAAATCACACCACGTAGCCGCGGCAATATGAGCTTTCCATTGAAAAGTATTATTTGATGATGCTGTTATTTCGGCTCATTTGTATTAAACAAATCGTTCAAAAACTAAATCAGTAATTGTCATTAAGTAGAGCAAGGGAGACAAAATAGATCCTGATATGGGTCGGTTATTTTAAGAAAGCTTACCCATTGCTTAACCCTTTACTGCCCGTGGGAAATGCCAATTTTTTCTTAAACGAGAACGATGAACCAATAGACCTACGTTTGAAATATCATTTTGAAGGTATTTTCGACTTGGCTATGTGACTATACAGTTTCTCCAGGGAAAATGAAAACTTTAAATTAAATAAAACTCGAAGATCCGCTTGACTGATAAGTAATTTTCCACTCGGACAGCCTAAGATTTCCCTGAAAAATGGTCTAGCTAGTTTTGTGTTACATTAATATAAGCTCGCATCTTTTCTCGTCACTCGAAGACGTATTCCTTTAAATAGAAAGAAGCTTGAAAATAATCGCTCGCTATGGAAAAGAAAACCAATTAAAAAAGATTAAATCAAAAACTTCCGGTGATGCTTAAGGATGAAAGAGAATGACACGGATTGTAAACAAACACAAAGGATGGAGGAACAAGAAAGATAAACCAAGAAGAAATAAAAATGGCTGAGGATGAAGAATATTGAGATGGACGGTAAATCATTATGTCAGTTTGGTAAACTAAAAAAACACTAAAATAGGCGATAAGACACCAAAAAGAAACAATGACGAGAGAAGATGGCGTTGGTTTAAATGGATTGCTTTGGTTTCCAAGATACACAAACCAGGGTTTTTTTAAATTATATATATATATAATACAAAAGAAAATCTATCCTCCAAGCTTCTTAGGCATGATGAGAAGTTGTGATGAGCATACGGTTCCTTACACATGAACTCAAAATGAGAAAATGAACGGATATCACCTTGAGGATTGCACTAAAATTTCAGTTAATTTGGCAGAGGCTGAGTACTGAACACGATAGGTGTTATGGGCAAATTTCGGGTCATAAAAGTAAACCGGGGGCTTAAAACAGATAAGAGAAATGAAGCCCTTGATAATTATCGCCATAGTACGAAAGCAAAATCCATTGATTATTTGATGTCACGTGTAAGATGTGACGTCAAACAATACTTTTCTGGAGGTGTGAAGTAATGAAAACAGTGCATGCCAGCTGATAAATCTGCCCGTTTTTTACAAATGACTAATTAGAAAAAATTTCAGATGCGAGTCCGCCGCATGTGCGTTCTATCAGCTTTATTATGTTTAAAGATAACGGCAAATTTCCTCACAAGGTGTATTGTTACAGTTACAACAACAAGCAAAAGCATAAGGATAACCTTGCTATACTGAAAATGTTCATATGTTAATATTCCCATATTCCAATACAGGCTTGTAGGTTAAAGGTTTCGCCACAAGATAGTTGACATTCAGCACTTTATAAAAGTTCACTTTTCCCGGAAGACTACATGCGTGCGTGCGTCTGAGTGTTTACGAGCATGTTAAGTCTTGGTAGTGAAAGGGATAGCGTGTTGGAGAGGTGAAAATCATCAATGCTTTAATTTCATATGAGCTTGTAAATTTAGCCAGAAGATCCTACGTACGTTTTGCCAAAAGTAGATCTTTTACTTGCCTTTTTTCAAACCATACAATTTGACGACACTAAGAATATGTCTCAGCTTAAAAAATCGATTGCAACAGGAGGGTCAGCAGTAATCAAGTAAAGAGCTAAGACGGTGTAGGTTGAGCAGGATTAACTCGCTTTGCGCATGAAGAATGTTGTCCAAATGGACGGCTGAACAGTTTATTCTCATTAATTAATTCATTTGGTCATTATTTGATTCTACTACTCGTTCTTTACTCCATACTTCAGATTTAATTTACTCAAATTAACATTTTAAAGCCATTTTTCAATGTTCGAAATAGTGCCGTTGGTGTGTTATTCAATCTATGCATCTGTCACGAGTAGGCGACACCTAGGATAAGAAAAAATATAAGTTAGGACAATGCTACTTGCTACTTGTAATTTCAGCTCCCTAACCGCAACTAAATGCTGACCTTAGCAAAGTAAACGAATGTTTGTGTTTAGCTTACAATGCTAACACGTGATAATCTTTGGTCACAGCTAAATGTAATCTTATCACAAATTTGCTTATCAGTGTTCTGAGAGACTAAGGTGCAAATTCCTTCAAAGCCTGAATTTTTGGAAAAGAAAACGACTGTTTTTAGTTTACGATGCTAACACTTGACAATCTTTGGCAAAATGAAGTATTATCAGAAATTTGGTTATCAGTGCTCTGGGAGACTGGGGTGCGAATTACATCAAAGCTTACATTTTTCCTAAGGCTGGCACTATTCGCAATTCATAGAAAGAAGAGTGATGCAAGGTTTCTAAGCCAATCATAGTGCGAATTGAGGAAACAACAAAGCAATCACGCATACTGTCAACAGTTATTAGGAAATTGTTCTAGATATAGGAAATACACCTTTTGAACTAAAGGTGTATTATAAATGGGGAGGGATTTGAAAATCACAGCTAGTAGAGGATCCATCGATGGAGTTTGTTGAGTATTCCTCCTGGAACTAATTAATGGGCCATTTATCGAATAAGAATTCCTAGAAAAGTTTAATATTAAAATCCCTCTTACCCGTAAGGGGCATCTTAGGGTTGTAGGCCTCAATCACTGAATTGAATCGGGTGAGATTTCTAGTCGCCTCGGTATCCATTAATAGCTACAAAATATTCAACGGCTTTTAAACATCATAGACCATTGACGATGATTTTATCTTTACTTCGAGCACTCACTGAAAAGCACCAGACATCAAGCCGACTGACTGAAGTGATATCGACAGAGAGATGTTCCAGATAAGGATGGACTGCTCGGAACCTTGGCATTCAAATTCTGAAATTGCTAGTTCATTTACTAAAACGAATGCTCACAATTTAAGTGAATCCTTTAGACTTTTTTGCAGCTTGAGTTTTACCAAGGTTTCATCAGACCAATTTAAACTTTTCTTTTGAACAGACCACTTAAGCTGATATTCAATTGAAGGTCAAGAGGTTTGAGGTAGGGATTGATGTACAAACTAAATGCCGAACTTAAAACGCTGAGGCAAACATTCCAAGCGTTTGAATCTGCTCGGATATATTTCATTTTCTTAAACCTTTTCATGAAGGCTAACGATGAAAACCAGAGGAAATTCCAAAATAGTTAGATAATCGTATCCGCGATATCTGATATTTCTCAGCGTCTTGCTGGCATGGACATGAGATGTCCTATCAGAGATTAGGTCGAAAATATGTATGCTTTTGCATCACGCGGAAGTTTTAGAGTCTTTCCGGTTGGATGTAAGATGTTTCTTTTGAATCTCCTTTGCGGAATGGGTAGTTTAGGCACATTTGTTATCGGAATTGTCATTCACCCAAAGTTAATACAAGTTTTTGTGGCCTTGCAAAGGAATGCAATTGAGGGGAAGTTCTCAAATAACTCACGCAAGCTTAGTTTCTCAATCCGGGTTATGACAGGAGTAAACTCCAGTCGTCAACGTTAAGATGAGTAAGCAGCCCTGTAACTAGTATTTCTGGCAGTCATTCGTCTATAAGCAACACGAACCATATCATCGCTGAAGCTCTGCAGCTTCAATATTAACGATATTATGAAAGCCCTTGCTCCACACTAAAGGTATCTGTTCCTTTGTTACTTTAATTATTAATTTATTATTATTGAGCAAGTTTGGTATAGTAAGAAGAAATTAGAATGGCTTTTTTTCGGCGTTTAATCGATCAAGATCGAACCAGAATTCCACAAAGGAACGAAATGACAGATCATAAACAGTTTCGCGCCAAATGTCAGTTACATGCACACTTTGTTACAGCTTAAATGAGCAATCTGCTTCGCAAATCTTTGGCTTTTTTGAAATAATTTCACGTCCTTCAAAAGAGTTCTTAAAAGATTACCTTCTGACAGATGAGGAAGAGTCACACGCTGATAATCCTCCTTTGCGTGACTTCGATTTACCGTCCGTATGCCACTACCTTATCAGCGAAACTGTTATTTGATCAATTTTAATGGAATTAGGAGCTATTTATGTCCTCCAGCTGTGTTGTGATTGCAGCGTCTAGAGCGAGGTCACGCGAAAGACGAAAGAAGTCACTTGAACCTTTCTAAGTACTGCAACCTGACACCAGGCATTATTAATTGGCCGTGCGTCACGAAACACAATACACAGCTTGTGTTTTGCCTGATTGAATGTCTATATTCACAACGAAAAGCTCTTGGCCCGGCCGTGATCGTTGTCTCATTTGTCTGGTCTTCAATTGAAAAACACTCAAAAGCTCTTCGCCTAGAATAGACAATTCTTCAGACGATAAATATCTCGACGAAACGATAGATCTACGGACTGGTAACAGGAATGGAAAAGGAACTGATTGGTTCGCGTTGTTCGAGTTGATATTTGCTGTTCGAAAACTTGCAGTCTTTTGGTTGAGTGATATATCAAGAACGGAATCTTACCAAAACAGTCCAAGACACAATAGTGTACAATATAAACAAGAACCTATATACTTAGGTTGTTATTCGAGGTCATTGGCGTAGATGTCTTTTCAAGGGGAGCATCTGGCTGCCTTTTAAATGGATTCTGGAGAATGAAACAAGACAACCGTACAGTTATGACATCCGCAGTTCGTCGACTCGGCCAAGAGATTTCTAAACTTGGGCTCCGGATGCGTAATCGATCTCCATCTGGCAGTGATAGTGATGTGTTCTCTTCCACGGATGAATTAGCAGGTAAGAGCAGCTTGGACGTTCAGTCGGAGAACACTTTGTCCAAGGATAATTTGGAAAACGATGGAGCCTCAGGATCGAACAGTGTTGAGCAACTAATTACACAAAGACGGCATTCGAGGAATGATCTGGACGAAGACGTGGAATGTAAAGAGCGCCGAAGCTCTATCAAAGCTGCGCTACGGCCAGTTCTTTCTCGGAAGGCTCGCTCTGATTTAGCAAAATACACACGTCCAAACCAAGACCTTAATCTTAAGCAATTTGACGAGCGGAAAGGAAGCTCCGCAAATGGTTTTAGTGAGGAAAGTCTCAAAGAAAATAATGTCGATGGCCTTGGAACCGACAAGAACGGAAAGGGTGAGGAAAGATCTTGTGAAATGTCTTCCGCGACATATCGTGTTGCAGTTGGAGAGAGTCAGACCGAGGAACACGACGACAAAAAGATAAAACCGAAACGACCGAGGCGTCCCAAACGAAGTAAGTCTTTCACTGGTTTGTTGAACTGGAGACACGGAGCTAAGCAACCTAATAAACAAGCGAATGGGAACGACAGCGGCAAACCAGGTGCACGAAAACTGGTACGAACTAGAAGCAATTCGTTTAGTGGCAACGTGGACAGCATTCGTAGCACTAAGAACGCAATTTCTAGAACGTTACCAAATCATAATTACATGGCAGAAGATGTAAACGAAACAAACGGAAATAACACGGCCAAACTATGCCCCCAAATTTATGTTACTTCTTCCTCGAACGGCGAAGAGTGCGCAAATGGAAAACGCTTAAGCTATATGGCCTTAAAAGGATTTAGATTTGAACAGGGTATGATTGAGACAGATCTGTGTTCAACTGAGCTTTGAAAGGTTTGCCATTCAATACTTGAAATCGAGAACAAGAATATGTGATGTTACTTTGATAAGTGGATGTAAGGCTGGCATAGACTGAGTTGCCTTAGTACTTGACCCATGCGACTTGAAATTGATAAATAAATTGTCTGTTGTCTACGTTGTGGCGAGCTGAAATGTAGTTTCTGGTGGAATACGGACGGTCTATCTGGAATTACAGCAGAAACTTGATTAAATCTTATGCGATTTATTAATGTTTAGATCCGGATGTTTGCATGGCAAAATCCTTGATTAGCAAAAGCTCTAAAAGAGCCGAATTTATTGACAATAAAAGGGTCAAGGAGTTGTAATCCGTTCTGGATGTAAATGATGCCTCAGCAGTCAACTGGAACTGTTTGTTTCTTTGAAGAAGTTACAACCACTTCGACCATGCGAGGTTTTTTTATTGCCTAATCGTGTAATGCATTTCTAAGCAGGTCAGTCGAAATGTTGACCCAAATTCGAGCAGTCAAATTGTATAATAGTTTTACTCAGAATGATGGATCATGTCTTATCACATGATCTTAAGCTTATCTATGCCGACTAGTGTTATCCTATCATAAATAACTTATCCTTTACTTTTGTACACATCTAAAAGGAAGATCTAACTTGTACACAAATAAAACATTTGTTATGTTACTTAGAAAGCGGTTTGAGGCCAATAATCAATTAACCACCCCTGGTTTCCTGAGCGAAATCAGTCAACTGTAAGATCTAAATTTGTAACATTCACATTTTCAGAGAAGCGGAAACGCTTCATGCCAAAAGAATCGAGCGTGGTTTTATAAAACTGTCTCAAGCTGTTACAACTGATCTTTTGAAACATCTATTGAAGAATTGCTGCTTTGTACGAAATAAAGTGAAGAGAAAACATCCCGGGATTGACTTTTTACAAGTGTCGTGACGCTCTCCACGGTTTTCGATTCCTAATAATAAACTTGAAACTCCATTAACACTCGGCCTTGTCACAGAATGCTCAAAGAAGAAATTCTCCTCAGGAATCCTTTGACTGAAGTAACGAGGACTTAGTTACATTTTCATAAAAGTCTTTGAGTTAGTTGTACAGATAGTCTTTAGAGAAATTTAATGTGAATAGCTCTTCAGAGCATAACGTAAGTATAAAACTGATAAACATAGAGGTTCTGCTTACATCCCTGGTCAAATTCAATAAATCACTCGAGACAGAAAAGTGTCAAGAATGATTGGGAGACTCCTGGAAATAATTACACTTTGATTGAACGCCTGGCAGCTACGATTTTTATCCGTTTAAGAATCAGTAGAAGTGTAGAAAATGGCATTTCCTCCACTAAATCATTCAATTACTTCACGGAGCTACATCATTATAACTTTAATTGGATGAGGACGTTTAGATAAAAGTTTACTCGGGCAGAAAAAAACCCCAAAGGGGATAGAGTTAGTGGAAGAGAAGTACGGATGGAGGAAATTGGCCAGGATTACAAAATGCCGAAGCAGTGAAGGAGTTGTCTTTTGAAAGCTCCCCCCGTAGATGTCTGCATTGTCAGACATTGAAATCCCTTTGCACGATGTTTTTGATCACTACGTCAGTGAAAAAAAAAAAAGTTGCTTGAGATCAACATCCTTTATTTACACAAGGGTTGGCATGCTTTCACGTTTGTTCTAGTCAAGTTTGACTTTGGTGAAATTTTCAATCATCGTTCAATCCTGATCGTTACAGTTCAGAAACATGTTCCAGTATTGCACTACGCCTTACGTTTAGGCATGCAGTAAACAGCTTGTGTATGTCAACAACACAATCGTAACTTACGTCATATGTCACCAAAAGAACGCAACAAAATGGAAGAAAGATCAAGAAACATAATATTACGACTTCCACTCTTCAATCATAATTTTGATGGCACGTTTTCGACTCCGTGCGCCTTTGTCGTTTCATAAACTCAATAAAAAATATAAGAACACTCTCCGTGAGAAGGATTAGGATTTAAGAAGAAGAAAACCCATCAAATTAACCAATGTGACAAGCAATAACTTTGGTGTGAATTTTATGAGGGACAGGTACACTTTTGGTCAACGTTAACTTAATGCCATCATTAAAAGGAGAAAGTCTCCTTAGTCGCTGTCTCTGAAGAGGTGCACGTAACGATAAGAAAAGTGATAATTCGATCATGACATGGGCTATTTCTGGCATTTTGGAAATAAATCGTCGGAGTGGTGATAAGCGCCGGCGATGATACTTGTTCCTACAGATTTTGATGTATAGGAGACTAAATCTGTAGATTCAAAATTACTCATAACAGAGTCGATCTATGATCACCAATAGAATCTTTGAAACTTAATAAACCTCAAAGGTACTTTTGAGCGAGAAAGGATTTACTTGAGAAGTTGCTTTTTCGTCAGACTCCTCGATCTCTTCTGAGATGTTCATACGACTGAGGGCGAAATGGTGTCGTCGACAACAGAGACTGATTTTGGACATTCCGAGTGAAAATCATCATAAAAATACTTTTTTCAGAAAGTTGTGTTCAGCTCATCGAAAAGTTAGGACCTGTTACCGAACATATTTCCTTTTATGTATAACCAGGGCCGAAGCACGCTTTGCAATTACCATGACAACATATAGGTTTTTCATGTAGTCTACATGAAAAACCTGTACGTAGGATAGTATCCTGGGATTTGGCCTATCGACCTTGTTTTTGTTTTGTTTGTTCAGTGGTTTTCCTTTTTTAATGTGGTCTGTGTCTTTACTTTGAATAGTCTTGCAATTCAAGCACCAAAAATAGGAATCAAAACGTTGCAGACTGGTTTTTGAGTGAGAATATTCATTACAATGCTGAAGATTTAGATACTCCAATGAGGCTGTTTAAGATGCGGGCACTTTCGAGGAATGAGTGCTCATCAAAATCACAATAATTCCCGTGTTTAAACCATTTACGAGGGTAACACCGATTGTAAGTATTTTCCTCAAAACATACCGATCTAATTAACTCGAGAAAACACGTTTTTCATTTGCAAGGAGGGATCACTCCCAATATAATTACAGTCGGATGGCCTCCTAGAAAGGGGGCGGAACTCTCTTGAATAGGATCCATGTGATACTTTATTCTTGATGCTCAACAATCACCACTTCACTTAAAGCATAAAAAATTTACATCGATTTAATGATCGTTTTCGTCCATATCATATTGTTAAAATTGCCATCTCAAATACGAGTAGTAACCCTGAACTCCCAGAAGTGATCAACAAGTAACCCCTCCCTATAATATCTAAACATTATCCAGCAAACAGGTCATAAGAATATTCAAACTTATCAGGTTAGGGTTGTTATCTTGATCTCAAACCAAATTCTCCTTACTTATCTAAAGGAAAAGTGTGGCAGTTATAAGGGAGATTTGACAATCAGATCTTGGAAGTTAAAGGGTAAAGGCAAAACACCCTTTTGACTTGAAAATCGATTTCGTAATTTACCAATCACCCAAAAAGTCGACATTTTCAGTTGCAAGATCTCTATATTCGTCACAAAATAGTTCGCTCAAGGTCATACAATTACCTATTGCCTTCAAATAAAGGAAGAGATCTGATTGTGGCTACCACAGGCGGGGTGGAGAAATTGTTAGGTGAAAAGAGGGGGGAAAAAAGGCCAGAAGAAACGCGGTTACTGGAGAGAGGTCTTAGAGAGGAGGTAAAAGAGAGAGCGGCACTAGAGAGAGGGTCCATCGAACATAGAGTATTAAATAAGGAAAGAGGGGTCTAGGAGGAAATGGCTGCTAGGAATGCAATATCAGAGAGATGGGATATGAGAGAAAGAGAGGTTAATAGATTATGGTATTCAAATGTAGAAAACACTTAGCGGACACCTCGTTTGATTCCCCTCTGGAAGACTTAAATTTGACGTAGACGCTCTCACCTCGAAACTTTGTTTTTCAATGTGTTTATGTCTGACAATTTTTTTTATGTTGATGATGGCTATTCTTACAAAGTGTAATTGGATGTTGAGTTAATCTTTACGAAGAATTTAATTGTGTTTGGGACTGCTCTGAAACGTACGGGAAAGGTCAATCGTGGGGGACTTACATATTTGATATGAATTGGCAGACCGCGGCGGCGTTAAATTTACCAGTCTGTGTTTCATATGAAATTCTGTCAGATCAAATTCTCCATCCAAATATTTAACTCCGGCTTTGATCGAATCATCACAACCGAATAAAACGCATGGAGGTGATACATCAGCCTCCTTCTGAATGAAAAATGCTCTCCTTCCGTGATTTTCGCTTTCGCCTACACAGACGTAAAAAAAGCATTTATAACCGCAAAGTAATTCCTATTTCTTTCAGCAGAGTTATATTTTTAATTAAGTCTGAAGTAAACTCCTCATGCGAGAAGTACGTATCAGTATCATATGAATAGAAGCTAGTCAATTGATGAAATTGAAAAATAAGATCAGTTTCGAATACTATCAGGTTTTGTTTGTCTGTAGGATTATAGCAGTCATAAATTGGACATTTATGACTAGTTTTTAATCAGTGTATAACTTACAGGAAACGGTGATTGACAAATTTTGATAGCGATGCTAATTAGCGAATGGTAAAGTTTTAACAAACAACAATTTATATAAACTATTTGTTATTCATCCCTTTTTATATTAATTTAAAGCTGTCGAGTACTATTAAAGTTTCCACTGACCTCATTGTCCTCCTACAGATCAGTTGAGCACAGGTCGGTTTCTCTCGCAGCCGAGTTGAGGAACTCACTCCACGAACTGCTCCCTTTCAATACCTCCGAAGGGCTAATTCTCAAATTCCCGATGGTATAAATATCGCTCCACGAGAAGCTTCTTTTCCTTCGCGGTGGCGTTTTGTTGCCTCTCTTTGTAGTTGTTGTGGTTGTTTCAGAGCGGCTTATAGCTGAAGCCTGTTTAGGATCCTCCATTAAACCCTTTGTTTGATCGTTTGCCAGCTGTTGTGCTGTGTTCGCCTGCTCGACTGTTGTGATTGGATGCGTTAAGTGAGAGGTTCTGTCCACTTCTTCGGGTGGTTGAATGCAAATTGTAGGAATTACAAAGTTATTTTGCTCTAATTTTAAGCCTTCAATCTGGGAAGGCGGCTGACTAACCTTAGTGCAATTGTCGTCCTGGTTTAATCTTTTGTCTTTCTCGTTACTTGTAAACAAAGTGCCGCAATTTGAGTTACTTTTTTTTAGCCGGTTTTTTGTTCTAAACAGGATCTGAAGTAAGGTTTGTGTGTCGTTTTCTTTCTTTAACACTCTTGGCAGGGAGAACGATCTGGTTCTTCGAAGCTCTTCCCCACTTTGACCAACAGAAGGACGGTTCTCGAAGTTAGCGCAAGGAATGCTTTCAGCTGACCCTCCAATCTCCTGTTGCATAGAAATATTTTTCAAACAAATATGACCATCTTTTCTCTTACGCATTTTTTGTCTCACTGTGGCCATTTTTGAAGTGGTAATACGACGGAATTACTCGTAGAAAAGTACTCTCTGATGGACTCAACGATAGATGTTGCTAGTATACCTTTGACTTCAGTTATTTAAAGAAAATGAAATTCAAGTCACATGCTAAAAGTCACGCAAAGATCTACGCGTGTGATAGATAACCCAAATTTCCTTTCGATTAACGAACAACGCCTGGTTTCCTGTGCTCAAACGATCCGCGCTCTTTTGATGCTGTTATGTGGTCAAGCGTACCGATTGATTTGCTGTTACACAACGAAGTGGCATGGCGAAACCAGCCATCTTTCTGTTTTTTGAATTAAGTTAAAGAGGATTGCACTGTTAACACCTTGTCAGGAAGTTTAAGGTCAACAACAGCAAATGCAGTCTACTGTTGTTTTTAAAAATCGCGAGGGAAAGAAAAATCTTGATTTTCTGAGTAGAGGACTTAAATTGCAACCAGTGGCCACTATGACTACGATTTCATCGGCAGCAGCTGAGCATAAACGAAAGTAAATGTTAAGGAGAAAAACAAAATACTATCAGACTCTTCATCAACGTTCATAACTTCCTATAATTGATAAAACATGAGGTAATATAATATATCAATAACCATCGTGCTAATATAGGTGTAGTTAACTGTAATTGAGAGGTAATGGTTGCATTAAGTTGTTTGAGAATAACGTTTTGCGGATGAATTGGGCACCTCTGGATTACACCTCATGCCATTTTGTGTCTATAGTTCCTAATGCGATTCAAGCTTCAGTCACTTTTTGGAGCAGATGGATATCTTAGAATAAGTTTCTGAAGAAACTGTGATGCTTGCTTTGGCGGAGGTATCACAAGATAATTTGTTTGAATTAATACTTTGAAGTGGCCATCTCATTAAAAGGATTCTTAAGCTGACGTTACGAGCGTTAGCCCTCCGTCAGAGCTCAGACGATGGCCAATTAAAATTATCAACACAATCGATTTAAGCAAACTATCTAGGTGATACCCTGGTTGACGCAGGAAGTTTAAGTACAACCCATCCGTCCTGTCAACAATATGAGCTGCCACCATGTTTAAGTTATTGTTTCAAAATTCGCTTTGAGCAAGCTTAGTTAATTTAGACTAACTTTGACTCCTTATGACGTATTTGATGTCATCTTAAGCCGCGCTCAGAGCATCTTTCTGAAGGATATATATATATATATATATATATATAAAAAAAAAAAAAAAAAAGTCGTCACGAATTTCATGGTCCGCCTACGATTTTTCGAATGTTTAACGTCATAGAAAATCACTTTTAAGCTTCCGATGGAAACTTCGGAATAACACCATAGTCACGGATTAGGCAAGTTTACCTTAAGCCTTAAGTAGAAGATTGCCAATATAAATATTATTATAGCAATTTAACATATAACTTCTCCCTATAAGGCCAATGATTCATTATCTAGCAACCATGTAATGAAAACAGCTTATTCGATTGTGAAACATTTTAAACGCCCGGATCTTCTGCGAGTTGCCTTGTTTTTTCACGAGGTTCGTAGTTATGGGCGAGAAAAAATACGAGCAGTGAGCAAAATTTTCGCGCGTATTATACGTCAAACCATTGAATATGTGATTTATTATTCCACCGTTATTCACTTTTCTAGTATTTTAGCTTATAATTATAATTTCGACGGACTAATCCGAGCATTGTATCGATCGCTTGAGGCGTGGGCGAAAGTGTGGGAAAACAACACAAACGAAACTATTAAACTAATTAAAAAAAAACTGACGTACTTAGAAGTTCTTTGCTCAATAGGAAAAGGCTTATACACCGGAAATAAGCAAAGCTTGGAACTTTCACTGGGCCCATTATCTTTTTCTACTTTCCGTCTTTATTTTGCCTTGTACTATACCGTGGAATGTTTTTTGCATTCCGGTGCCCTAATATGTTAGAACTGCGAAATATAAAAATAAATAAAAACGGGTACACGTATGAGGCAGTGGGTGTTATCTTCGATGATGCCAAATCCTCTTTACTAATTTATAATGAAATGACTGGCTAAAAAGAACTATGAATCAGATCTCGAGAGTTTCACGGCAATAACATATAGTAAACGGGCCTTTGTTTTTGTTTGTTTGTTTGTTTTTCGCTCAGGGGCCGACGACTCACTGCACAATGGGTTTGTTGCTCTGAAGCGGCTTACTGCACTCTGGATTTGTTTTGCAATCAATGATCAAAAAATTTTAAAATTCTTGTTCTGACACGCAATAAAGCACTCAGGTCATGATACCGGATTGAAAAAAACTGATAGTGTGTGGAGATAAAACCAACCTCTCACATATGTAACTTACAAAGAAATGTTTTGTCTTATCTTTGGGATCTTGGCAGTAAATGATTTGTGGTGGTTCGTAACAGAACTAAGGGGAGTTGCATGACTCAAAGTGATCGCTGGCTCTTTTTCGACCATAGCTTTTTCTATTTTGGTTTTGCTCAGATCAAGTCTTTTCATATTATATTTATCATCTGATATCATTATATTGCGTGCGTACACTTGAGAAGGTCTTTACATCCTTGAATTAATCTTTGACGTCATGAGTACCACCAACTCATCCTTAGATGATCGTGTTAACAATTATTCTGAAACAGATTCCTTCACATTTTTGAGCATTCTTTAATAAACAACACAGCCCACAAAGCAAGTCACCACAGCAACGTAATGAACAATTCGATTACCTTAATTTGAGTTTGAAGTGATCGACTTAACAATGAGCGCCTTTTTTTAAGGTGGTTATTATTCAATTATGATTGAATATTAACCAGGTTCATCTGTTCTTAAATTTGAGCTCAAGTTCATGTTTTGTTTCCAAAGTTAAGAATTTGTTGTCAATTTATTTCTGTAGTAACTCTCATGTTTGTGAATCCATCAACACTTTTATCACTTATTCCCTTATTCAGTTTTGTTGTTAATGTATGACGACTAAGCTTGAGATTGAAGGATTCTTATCATAATTATAATGTTTTGAGTAACTTCCTGCGTCGCTTTTGAAAAAAGGATATCCTCGGAACATAACGCTAAACTTGGAGACAGAATGCAGTGCAAATGATATTTGATTCAACAATATTGAGCTAGGTGGTTGTGTCTTCGTTCTTATTATACAATGACTATAATTTTCATAGCCTGTAATTCGACTTTGATACAAGCAAACTGATGTATAGTATCAAGACAAACTGTTTTATTTGGCCCATTTTGCGCCATGACTCAGCGGCAGTATGAAAAGGCTACACGGCCGTTGGTGACTCGTGAAAATAACAACCACATGCTTTTATAGTCTTTTCGTTTACAATCCCACCTGCTTTTCTCCGTGTTCAAGCTTCCTCGTATCTTTTTGGTCAATCCTTTCCATTTTGGTAAGCTATGTTTGGCAAGACTGCCGGGTTTCTCTCTCTTTAAAGGCAGGTATTTCGAATTTGAAAAGCATTTGATATACCTTAATTGAGTGCAAAAACATTCTATATGATGGAAATAATTTTGGCTATTGTAGTAGCATTCTTACCATATATAGATGGCTTAAAATGATCAGCCCTTTTAAGGTGAAATACATGTATATTTTTCATAGGTTAGAAAGTTCAATTCAATAGATAGCTGATTACTGCGCATAGAGAGTATCTTTTCAGTACAGTTATTGAACGCTAATAAAACCGAATGGCATTTTCAGGGCTGCCATTAGACGGACTCATTCCTGCAGGAAAGAGGAAAAACGAGCTAAGATCGCTGGGTCAGAAATGAAAGAGGGAATAGGCCTGGAACCCGGTTCAAAAGCGATCATCTGACATACATTTTTATTCGTTATGACGGTCTTTCATGATGCTCTAACTAAACATGCAGAGGACAGAGTCAAGTAAGTGTGTCGTTACTGGCAAGATTTTGTAGATAGATATTGTTCAAGGCTATATCTGGAGAAAAGTATTACCAAAGCTTACCAAGTTCAGGTTTTTGCGAAAGACTACCCCCCTCCCTCTCAACCCGGCCCCCCTCTCCTCCTCCCCCCCTCCTTGCCCCCGGAGTGGGCTTGGATAGCTATTGTAGCCGCTGTTGTTTATCAAACTCAATCGTTGGTCAGGGGCACTCCTCTATTTCTATAGACACATAATTGTTATTTGTCAGTCATGTAAGGAAAATTTTAGCCAACTCTTTTTTCACTAAGGATTGTATGTTGATCACCGATTGTACAAAAACTCTCCAGAAAAGAGTCCAGAGGAAATCGCAAAAACAATTTAGGATCACGTATAGAGGCACAAACGCAAGCTTGACTGTAATGTTTGAGCTGCTGTCCATCAAAATCCTATAGTCGAACCAATGATCGCAATTCCTTCGGAAACATGCCAAAAATAACTTTTCGTGGTCGTCATAGGTACTAATATCTGTTTTGTTGGCCTTTATCTGGCGGGTCTAATTTTTTCATCCAATGCACACAAAAGCTCTAATTTTCCAAAACGTTTATGCAGTAACTGTCTATTGTTTCTATGTACGTACAAAAGTACTCTTCAGATATATATAGCTAAACCAGGGTTATTTTTAGATCCAAGTTGAGTGTGACCACTGAACAATGGAAACGTCTTCAATACTTAGCGTGTACTTTGATCCCGCACTCAGGCATTTAATGGTTTTAATGGGACCCGTGGGAAATCTGTATACCTTTATGTTGTAAACAAGGATGTGGCTGTCGATGAAGCACACAGACTAAAATTATTTAGGGCTAAATCTATGAGTGTGACTGAGTATTTGATGATCTTCGTTAATCTTTGACCTTGCATTGTTAGCAGCCGAGTTAAATTAACAATCTAATTTTAGCCCGAGGTTATCGGAACATCTTTCAAATACGAAGTGTTTTATTGATGCAGCACTTGTCGAAGTGTTTGGATTCCTGGCTTAAGGCTGCAATTACCGTCAAATGACACAGCACATTGCCACATAACACACCAATCAGCGAGTTTGAAAGCTTAGTGTAATCACATGACAAATAGACGTTTTTTTTATGAGCAACACACAGGTCAAAGTGTACTCGGAAAGCCTCTAACTTCGTAGTCTACGTGTTCCGAAACAATCACTCAGGAAATAGCGATGGAGAAGTTAAAGTATGGTATAATACCAAGGCGTCGATCCATTTCTTTAAATATCAGCTCAGCGTCCAGCGAAACTTCTTCTTGCAGCGGTAATTCGACCCCAGTGATGGAAAACAGTTTTAGTGAAGTGGAAGCCCAAATCATAGACATGGCGGAAATCGCAAAAAAACGTCGCCAGGGTAGAAGCAAGTCCGTTCCACATGTGAGGCGCTTTCAGTGCTATTCAACTGATGAGGCGTTCGACCACCGTTTCAATACTAAACTGGATGCTTCAAGCTTTCAAGAGCTGCCTACTACAACACTCTGTTCAACGGAGCTTTGATTGAAGGGTAGCCAAAACAAGCACTCCTTCTAACAAGGTGTTGCCTCTTTTCAGTTTTTTCTTGACTTGTTGCCACTGGTTACCGACTTCTGGCAATCGACGCTCCCATTTGAAAAACCTCCATAAGTTGAGGATAGAGTCGGCCAGTATCATTAAGTATTTCCTTTTCTTGAGGATGTTTATAGATAAAGTTTCTGGTAAAAGTGATTTAACTCTGGCGACAAACAAGATTACCTGGCGACTCTTTGCAGCTATGGCTATGGGCATAATATTTATAAGATATCATATATTTACTGCATCCTTCGTTGTCTCTTACATCATGCTTGCTTCTCAACTACTTGAATTATGTGTGTTATGCATGTACGCTGAGACAAAGACATGCGAAAAATGAAAGATGAGAATGCTCCAACCACAAGTCAAAAATCTATAAACTTGTTTTAATTTCCAGTAAAAGGTGGAAGGAAAACCTTTTTCTGGTTATTTCCAGTTTGAAGCTATCACTGAAATTAACGTTTACGGAATGTTTGCATGGAAAGAGCATTTCAAAGTTATCAGTCAGCTCTTCGAGTGTGGTGTTTTCTACTTGCAGCTATGATAAGAAATGAAAACAGTAACAACAGTTGACAGAGATCGCAATTATGAAGTTGCTTGCGGATGTACTGTCAAAGTTATTATAACATTAGTTAACGTTTGTTCATCGCCTCTAGTCTGGGTGACCCGCATGCTGACATTTAGTTAGTTACTGGATAAATACGTTGCTTCGCTTTGAAAAAGATAAGAATGCACAATTTCATTCAACCTACGTGATCATTGTAAATAAACTAAAAAAAAATTGTTCACTGTAAGTAGTGCTACCTCGTAATGCAAGTCTTTCAAAAATAATTCGAGTTCGGAAATGGATGGCTTGTTTGTTAGATTTTTCGAGACTCGTGCTACTGCTAAGAATTTAGGTGTTTTGTCTCAACAGACGTAAACTATGAAGCGTATCTAAGTGGTCTGATAAAAGCTAATTCATCGGAGGTATTAAGTTTACCACGTGACTCAGGGATACTATCAGAGTGGCTTAATGTTCTAAAAAGGGTAAAACAAATAAAAACGTGACAGGCCTCTACGATAAGACAATAGCCCGCTGTGATTGCGGTTTCTTTGCTAAACTTCGTCCGCAATTCAGGAGGAGCAAGACTTATGTTCACTTTTAGATAAATTGTGCATTTATGATTACGCCGTAAACTTTCGAAGAATTTCACTTAGTCAAGCTGGCGTGATCTGTCAGATGTTCGCACCTTCTTCTTTTCTCCAGAAGTGGTAAAGTTTGGCCGATTCTAAAAACATTTGGCACTTGGATCGGCGATTATAATTGTTTTACCCATAGAGGAGTTCACCTTGAGTATGGCAAGTAGTACGGGGTAGATATCTACTGAATGAGTAACTGCTTTTAGCTACCTTTTCACAAACGTCTTAAGGACTTGTGGAGGAAAAAAAAAGGAAACCTAAGTAAATGGAGTTATATCTGAGCTGCTTGGTTATCTCGAATCCAATGAACAGTGAAACAATTTACAAACGTAAACAAAAACACCGAAAAGGAACAAACGATGTCTTTCCAATGTTTTTTTGTTTTTCTTCTTTCCCTGTGAGTAGTTTTTGCTCATTGTGTCTACCCTTCAAAGATCTAAAGTCATTTGAAAGGAGCAGACATAAGTAGCTGCCTATTCTTTCGCCAGGGAGTCACAAGTTAATTTTGCTGAGAGGCGGATGCTAAAAGATATGAATGTGGTTTTTTTTTTCTAGGTTCTTGTTTTAAGTTGTAATCTAAGGACTTTAAAGACTTTACTTGTATATCGCGACTAAGAAGTTGGTTCGATTACTAAAAAGTCTAAATGACTGTAAATATATGAATATCATCTATGTCAACTGTGGATAAAGAAATGAACATGGAAGCGATCCTCGCAACAATGAACACTACTCAAGTAGTAGTGAAAAAAAGGTTTAAAATAAAGTTAAAAAGTCTGTTAACGGTTATCGTGTTTGGAAAATTTGTGATGTGGAACCTGATATCTGCCAAAAACGAATGCCCTCACGTTTCTTTCTATTGGAAAGACAATACCTGGCTTAATGAAAGATAGTTAATAGTCGTTATCAATTGCCTGAGGAGGGAGGGAGGAGATCGGTCGTTTGGGGGCATGATATATTTAAGAGAAATGTACAACAGGGGAATTGACGTCGCCAATGAGAGTAGGATCAACAGAAAATTGACTGCCAATGAGAGTAGGATCGTCAGTATAATAGTCTTGGAGGGTGGGAGAAATTTCAGAAAATAACCCGTCTCTTAGCAAGGTTAATGTAATGAAATAGGGTGGTTTCAGTTCCCTTTTATCCGCCGTTTAAAAAGTGATTCATAACGAAAACACGCATTGCCCGTCAATTTTGCGGGCAATGCGTATAATATGACGGAGCGGTCGCGGTTTTTGTCTTACGCGAGGAAGTCAATTCTTGGATTGATAACCGACTTGAAACTCAACACTGTGTCTGCTCGCTTCTAGGTTCACCGACATGTAGAATTTGGAATTTTAAGGTCACTAGTGAACCGAGAGGTCACCGAAATGAGACAGACATAAACAATAAATTATTTATAGGAAGTTCCACGATGCAAGTACTTCCGGTGTTTGTCGCGGTGTTTCGACGGTATTCTTTAAGGTGGTGTAGGTTGAGGTACAAATCAGATTGTTTACGCAATGTTTTGGCCTGGCGCGTCGTTGCGACGTTATCATGGTAGTAATGAAGTTTCTATGGGTGTTCAAACATGTGTACGCTTTGCTTTTCTTCTTAAGTGCCAGTTCAATGTTGCCATTTTTTTTTCGGTGGGGAGGGGGCAGGGGCAGGGGGAGGGGGCAGGGGCAGGGGGGAAGGGGAAGGGGGGGGGGGCAGGACGGGGCGGGATTTGCTGGTGTTTAAGAAACAGAGTTTGCGATGAAATCGCCTAACTATCCTAGATATTAAAAAAATGAAACTTTAGTCGATAAGCGACAACGTAACATGCAACCAGGACCAAAGGATGATGAACAAAGCTATATCCAGCTTGAAAAGTTTCGAAAAGAAAACGGAATCTGGGCAAGAATTCTCCAACTAATCCCCAATCCACTGCATTTTCAATACTGTTGAGTTGCTTATTTTTTTATTTAATTATTCATTGTAATTTGGCAAAATTTTGCAATTTAAGGGCTTTTTTAAAAAGAAATCCGTTGATCCTCAAACAAAACTACTCCATTCCAAAATTTCTTTTTTAGGCGATGGGTTCGACTGGTTCCACGTCACCTTACGACGAAGAGTAACTATGGTTTTTTTCATGAAATAAACGATGATACTTCATTTTTGAGAGGACCTGTCTTTATTGAATGCCCCGTGTAGGGGGAGGAGGGGATTGAGGATTTTGGGGAGGAGCAAATGGTATTCAGGGGAAAGGAAGAGTGTTCATTCGTCTCTAACATCGTCTAAGGAGGAGACATATAAAAAATGACAGCTAATTAGGGGGGGGGGGACAGTGTCATTAGAGTACTACAGAGACCTTATCGAGGATCGGGTAAATTTTATTGTGATTGGAGCAAAATCCTCCGACTCTGCCTCCCCCCCTCCTCCAGGTGGGAAATATTGACCAATCTCTTATCTTTTCTCGTCACGATGAACAACTAGCACTTTTTTTTTAACAAAATAACAGAAGCTTGATTATTCATTTGAGGAGCCTTTATGATTGGTATTTTTAGATGCACTAAATCGAAATGCTTAGCTTAAAGTGGAAGTTGAGTTGCATTTTATTTGCATTTGGTTACTCGCTGCAAAATCAGTGTTCGTGAGGAAGAATGTTTGTATTTAAAATGGAATGGACTTCATTTTTGTATTACACTCCTTTTATTTGCTAAGAGTGTCTAATTGTGGGGCTGAAGCTGAGCTTTATTATATTTTTTTTTTTGCGATTTGACCCTAAAAACGTTCTTAACATTTAAAGCTGTGAGTTATAGTATTTCAATAGCAATCAATGCGGACGTGAGCGGTCTAAGTTTAACCATAATACAAACTGAGCTGTTCTCCAGCGTATCGTGCAATAGGAAAACCATATTTTATCATTATTGTTTAAAAAGGGCCCCTATGTATTTCATTTAACTTTCTCTTCAGACCACAGTTTTACATTTCTTTTACCTTTATTTTTACTGCTGACAAAAAAGAGCAAAGCAAAGACGTTCTTGAATGACTCTCAGTTTGGGTATGTGCTTAGTATGTTCTTAAAATTTTGGGTTATCTCTGTCTGAACGTTCTTATAAAAAAAGGTTCTTATTTGAAAATTTTAAAATAATTAATTAATTAATTAATAATTAAAATTTTTATTAATAAAAGAGCGTAAATAAGGGCACATTACGGGTACGGAGAATGATGGCCAAGTTCAAACGACTTTTATGCAGATAGAAATAAGAGAGAGTATAAGTTTTGAGTTCGGTAAAGAAATAGAGAAACACCTTTTTTTTCGTCTTGTCCCACGCTCGTGAAAAGACGAAAAAAACATCTCTCCCTATTTCTTCACCGAGCTTAAAACTTACCATCTCTCTTAATTCTATCTACAAACATTACGCTGTAGACGTTGTTGATCCTAGCAGTATGTAGGACACGTGTCATATGAACTTCGTAATAGACCTCGCTCACCGTGGAGTCTCTGTGGCTCAGTGGTAGAGCATCGGAGCGCGGAGGCTCGATTCCTATTCGAGGGTACTCAGAATTTTTTCTTTCTCCCAAGCTCGTGACAAGACGAAAAAAACATCCGTCTCAAACTTTTAGGCAGATCACAGAAAACTGACAGCCTTTGAACCAAATGCTGTTTTCAGACATTCTCACCCTCTGCAACAACCACGTCAATCATCCAAACGAACTTTACAAATGCTATGAGAAGTAAAGTCACGATGTTTTAAACTGCTTTTCTGGGACCATAGAATTTTTTGCAGGCGAAAAATACCTTTTGGACTACAGTTTGCGAAGGCAAACAGACATCAAATTAGCAAGATGCAACCGGAAGGGGGGTTGTATGTTTGACCCAAGCCTACCTCAATCGATGACTTTTTTTCTGTTAAATGACAACACTCTTCGAAGAGATCGATTCAAAAATAAATTTAGGACTCTCGTAGGGGTTAAGTTCACGATATCAATGAAGCTTTGTATGGCAAAATGGCAAATTGAATAAAAGTCACTTTATTTACTACGTCTACAGTACGATCCACAGTACTTTCCCACTTCTGCAAAATCAATTACTTTTAAAATTGTGATCAACTTATTCTGATTAACACGATACACCGAAGAACAACTCAGTTTGTAATCGAACTTAGTCTGGTCACAATCTAGGTGATTCATTATGAAATACTACCTCACAACTTCAAGAAGATGTTAAGAATGTTTTTAAGCTCAATATGCAAAAAACAAAAAAAACAAAAAAAACAAAAAAAACCGAAGATAAGAAAGTTCAGCCTCAGTCCCAAAATTAGACGCTTAGGAGTGTAATACAAAATTGAAGTCGATTTCAAATACAAACGTAGATGCTTCATCGTTGATTTTGCAGTAATAATATATGTTTTTTTGGGGGGAGGGGAGGTATAGGTTTTAAATCTGGAGTATCTCATTAAAGTTGTGTATACAAACCCAAAATATTTACGAACGATATAATATCTATCTGTTGGACAAAAAGAAATCAGCTTTATTGTCTCCCTTTGGCGCAGGTTTTTTACCTTAGGGTCAAGTTTATGTAGATAGTGCTAAATTACGAACTTAATAATCCTATTTTCTAAGTGACACGGTTATGTGCGTCACATTAGACCCATGCTTTCATTGATAACAGGAAAATATAGAATCTAAGCCCAACGTTTCCTAATGATTATTCCGATAAATGATAGCTCGTATCATTCGCATCATCCGGTAGTGGTCTGAGTGCATACTTAAATGTATTGAATACCTCTACATATATACACATGTGTTTTAAATGCAACTGCGGCTCCGGTTGATCTTTGATTCATGCTGAAGTCCTTCAGAGTTGGCTTAAATGTGAAATTCGTAGAGCTGCCCACAGTGGAATTATGAGGGACGATGTATTATACAACAAAAAGGTTGAACACAAGCGTAGTAGGTGGGTACAATCGAACACAAGCGTAGTAGGTGGGTACATCGCCTGAAGCAATGAAGCCAGAAAAGAAATGTCTTGTCAAGGATTTCTTTGTTCAGTTTCCATGAGCCCTAATGCTAGATTCAAAATAGAAGGACATCAGACCATGTAATTGCAGAACACCACATGAAGTAGCGTTAAATTTTTCACCGACTAAAAACCTATGGACCGGCGACGTTTGGTCTGGAAGCCTGTGAAGCTCAAAGCTCTGTTGAACAAAGTGTGGTTGTCAAAAAACCATCTTGAATACTAGTGTCACTGAAGACTTTCGTTAATTTAAGTGGATTCCAAATTGCTTGTTTGTCCTCGATCTCAAGGCCTTGCAGAAAGTCTGTGGAAAGACGTTTTTTACTGGCGTCCATCTCTCTCTTAACAGAAGGGCTGCTATTCCGTGGGTCGCCACGACCTATTTGGCCTTTTCTTCCTTCAGGCTGAGATCGTCGTCGCCTTTGCCTGATACGGTAGGGGATGTGAGTCTGTTTTTCAATCTCAAATTCCTTGTTATGAAAGAGAATACTGGCTTCTGGATGTGAAGCTTCTCTTGAGCAGGAAATGGACTTAGAGCGTGGCCTCGGTTGTTTTTCTGACTTCTTTGAAGTAACAATTGCCCAAACTTTGCGTAATTCACATTTCATGTTATAAACGTTTGATCGAAACTACGCCATGAATTGATAACTTATGTTCACGAAAGATGTCGTGTTTTTTTTATACCCACTGTGCACGTGACTTGAATTATTACCTCTTTTCTTATATTTGACATGCGGCGGGGCCTCGTGCTGATAGACGTTAGCCACCTTCATTTATTGTTACTCGCGAAAAGATGATCGACAATTAAGTGATTACATTCTGTTCTCCACGAATTCGGAGTGCGAAAACAAACTATTAAATGAAAAGTCAAGAAAAGGCAATCAATTTTAAGTTAAAATTATATGGGTAGTTTTCATCCTCGAGAAAACCTTTTTTTTTTGAAAATCAGTGTCCACTCAGATGGATTCCAATTGATCCTTGTGTTCCAATTTTGTTCAAGGTTCCAGGCGTAACGATATAAATTAACATACTAGTTGGCTATATTGAACTGTCGATGAGTTTTGGTAGTGATCTTTCAATTAATTGTTTCTTATTTCACCTGTAGTTCAGATGAACGTAGCAGTCTTGATGTACATAAAATGGAAAGACAATCCCTCTTTAATCGGATCTGGTCAAATAAGGACTAAAATGGGCATTTAATGCGTAATCTGGCCAACTGCAGGGTGAATAGAAGGTTTTCTAAAGGTCCACTCGTTGGACATCATAAATGCTTCAGTTGTTTCTCATGAACGCGTGACCTCAGTGCAAAGCGCTAAGTTATTTTATAATTACGTAATGCATTACATAACTTAGCCGTATAGAGGTCAAACGGCACGTGCATGAACGAAGTAAGTTATCCATTCATACTGTCAGTCAGATGATACATTATTTCATGAACTTTGATGAATAAACGTTTTAACCCCTAAGGATGTCTATTCACTAGCTTCGCTTTGTAGTTTGAATGTCTTATCCGACAAAAGTGTGAAATTTCTAGAACTTCCTTTATAAGTGCAGAGGTATCGATCTTGAGATACTGCCAGCCAAAAGAGTTAAATAAACCGAAATGTATCTTTCGTGACACTTGAAGTATTTTGAATCAAAACGTTTAACTGCTATACTAGACCTTTCAGGAGATAACATTCATTAAAGCTTAGCCAAGGTCATGCACCGAAATTGATGATGATTTTATTAAGCAATTATTTTCAATTCCATCGAAATGTATGAATGGTGAAATGGATACAAACGTTCATGCTTGAATTTGCACCAATCAAGATACACAAATGCGTTTCAAGCGTTGATCGAGAAATCTCCAACGTTATCTTCGATGTCGGTATTTAGAACATCTGCCCAACCTTTGTCACTTGCATTAAATTTTTGCATTTTTCTTGGGAAAAAGAAACATAAAACCTCACAGATGATACTGAGAAAACTGAAACGTGTTAAGTAGCTTAAAAGTGTTAAGTTATCATTGAACAGTAACTTTCTGATGAATCGACACCATCATTTGTTTATGTCTTAAGAATCATTTAAAAGCGTATCAGAAAATCCGTGATTATTGCTTACAAGCAGTGATCATTGCATAGACCTTATTATATAACAGTTGGTTACGATATGTTGTTACAGTGTTTAAGATCCACCCTTGATTATCGCTTCATACGCCTAAAACTCCAAACTGACCTCGATGTCTCCAATTTTTTTCAGCCAGTAAACTGAAACCTACACATCAAGATTTATCTTTAAGCGGAGTTTCAAGGAAATCTAGGTTCAAAGCCTTTTCAAACTAAAGTAAAAGATAATACAGCAACGAGCCTATATGATATTCATGCGAAAATGTCCCCGACCACTGACAAAGTTACCGTACTTAAAATTTCTCTTAAAAAGACTCCGTTCATAGCTTAATGAGGAACTATCGTAGAAATACCATATTGATCACATTGCAATGAAAGTGTCAAAGATGACAGGTATAATGGTCAGGCGAGACACTACGTAACTATCCCTTCCAACACTTAAAATACTGTATAACACTATGTTACATCTAGATCTAACATATTGCAACGTCGTTTGGACAAGTGCGTATTCAACGAGATTACAGTCTATATTCCAGATTCAGAATAAATGAATGAGAGTAATGACCTTTTCGAATCGCACGGAAGAATCGACGCCATAGCTTGAATCTTTAAAAATATTGAATATATATCATCAGCTCAACACATATGCTATAGTAATTTTCTTGTAATTATATAACCACAGCAATCTACCAATGTATTTTGATAATTTCTTTCCTAAAAATGACAAAATGCGACTTATGATACACGATCAACATCCAAAATACATATTGTATATACAAGAACGAATTGTGGAAATTTTTTGCTAGGTATGGAGGAGCATTTCTATGGAGCAATTTGACTAGTGACATTAGAGGCATAAAGTCATTTCATTTGTCTATGAAGTTGCTAAAATTATATATCCAAAATCTGCCATATAATGTACTTTAAGGTGTTTATGTTGGGTGTTATTAAAGATAAAACTCTTTTTTCGTGTATTTTCATGTATTTAATTTCCCTGTTACTATTGAAACAGAACTATGAACGCCTTTTGCATCAAATAAATGAAAATACTATAGCACAATCTTTCTGAAAGCTCAATAGAGCTTGCTAAATCTCCTGCCTTATCTAGTACTATTTAGCTGCATCTAATGATAATATCTGGAATTTGTTAAAAAAGGCAAAAAGGGGTGAATTATTGGTTTTCATTGTTTTAAAACACTCTAAAGTTAATTTCCTTCTTAGGTCCATTCCTAGATCAAATAATAATAATAATACACAAACCGATACTGTTTTCCAGAATTGTTATGGACATGTAAAGCAACGTATTTTAATAGCAGAGTTATTATATTAATAGGAATATAACGTATATGAAAAAACCTAAGATTTTGACATTTTTAAATGATACCGTCGTAGCAACTAGAATTTGCATTTGCATTTGTTTATCATTAAGAACTGCCAAATTATTTTAGATAGTTAACGTAAGGTTTACGTAACCCCGGTAGCCGTGATTCGTGTCGTTATCATATTTGTATGTAGATATTTGTATTATTATTTATTTTCAGACGAATCACGTTTACACGTTTACACATCTTTAATCTTTACATTTGTTTATCTGGGAGTTTATTAAACGTGTATTCAAGTTTGGCATAAACCCGTAGTATTAAGCTACAGATACATTGTAGGTATTGTGAACAAGTTTGAAAGTGTGTACGCCTATAAACGGGTAACAGCTCCTTGAGATCTGACGTGATAAAGGCTACAGCACAATAGTGTGATTGAACCAGTTATAATGTTTAATTATACTTTATAAAATGCAATTCTGCTCTCAATTTTCTTTTGAATTGGCGTTTTCATTATTCATACCTCGGTAATTGTTTCAGCAATTGCTGACATACTTAATGCACAACACTGGTATAGGGCTGACTTTGATGTTTTCCGACTCTTAACTAGTTATATTCATTCAAATTGACTTCACTATCCATTCCCTCTCCAGACAGTCTTTATTATCGATAATCTTTTCAAAATTCTTTTCTGAATTCTATTAATGAGCTGACCTCTCCTGTAGTGCCACAGAATTATTTTGCATTGTACAAATACTCATCCAAATAGAATATGCTAAGTGGAAAGGTCAACTCTGCCTACTTAAAGATTTTTCCAATAAATAAATTGCAATCTGCAAATTCGTTAAAGAGCATTGTTTAGTTATGATTCCAAATAGGATATTTTTTATGGAAACATTAGCTTTCCGATTTGACAGTAGTTACCTAAGCATTTTAAAACTGCTTGGAATGAAGACAATTATCTAAACAAAATGTGTAAGAGCTTGGGTTCTGTGTGCTAAATAGAGAATAATACATGGGTGCACGTAGATATGGAATATCTCTTCGATTGTTCGACTCGATAGCTCACGAAGGAGCGCAGCGAACGAGTGAGATGTCGAGTTGAACACGATGAGAGACATTCTATATCTACAAATCTACAAGCAACCATGTATTATTTTGTTTATCGTAGAAACACAATAGCCCTTTACTGAAAAGAAAAGCCGACTTCATTCATGTGTGAAAATAAATGAATCGACAAGCCCCAAATAACAATCGAGGTGTGCGTTGGCGCTAACTCTTAAGATGAAAAAATGCGTTGAATCATGATTATAAAAAGAACAATGGGTGCAATTTTCAATTTATAAAATTCTTATTTATCGACTTTGTCCTTACCGACAGAAGAAGTCTTTCTGGTAAACGGCTAAAATCGGCCTGCGGCAAATCTTCCAGTTGTCGATTTTCATTCTCAGCCGCGAGAAATGCCATCACCATAGCCACCCAATACGTAACTTTCGGTTTTCCTATTCGTATATTACATAATTAGTTTTCTTCCCCTTATAGGAAAGTTTGAACGTCATTGTCTGTGAGCGATACGGATTTTTTAGCGTATAGCCGCCATCATCCGAGAAACTATCTTGTATTGAGAATCCTGAAGGCTTTATCGTCCATTTATCAACTTGACCGAGTAGCGCGAAAGGCGAGTGGCGTGTCAGCAGCTTATTGGCGATATCAAACACGCGTGAAAGAATAACGTATTTTTACACGTGTATTGTTACGGCTTTTCTCAGGGCTGGAAATCGTTGTATAACACCGTAGTTTAAATGATAAATATGCACACGAGATCATTCTGTGACCAATTTTGAAAAAAACATTGGAGTTAATCATGAAAAGCGAATCGATCAATTTGTACTGACAAGCTTTGACACATGCATATTTCAATCTTAGCCAAGTGCAACAAGACTCAAATTCTTCTAACTTAATCCAACGTGATAAACAAAATCTCCTTGCAATTGTTGGAAATTGTTAGAAAGTTTTGCTTCTTTTGATACAATTAGACAAAAGTAATCTCTTGATCCATTTTGAATTCCCTAACATGGCTATTTCTAAGGTACATGTCGTAGAGGTATTAGTGCAAGCAGTCAGCTAGCGAGGCCCGCTGGTTGCCGAAAGTTGTCGTTAATCGCAAAAAGCCGTTATGTCCATATGGGAATGAAAATTTATATATATGATATAAAACTCCTGCCTCGACTTTTAAGTTGTCAAAATTTAAAACTTTTGTTAACTTTATGTTAAGTTTAAGTTACATAAGTTTTTAACTTACAAATGGATTTTGTTTGATTTCACTTCAATTTCTTACAACTAAGAGCCAGTAATCAGGCCCTCATTGAAGTTCGAGCGTTCTTTGCTTGGAGTAAAGAAGAAAGTATGAAGCCTTGACTGAACGCGAAACGGCAAAAAGTCTGCTTGAGATTTAGCTGTTAGGCGTAAATTTTGTCACTTTTTAGCTGTTAGTTGTAAAAAAGGATAACCGTAGGAATAATTGCTGGGGACAGTAATATGAAGACATTAACTGTTAGCCGTAAAATGGCCAATAACATAAAACGCTAACCGAAAGAGCAATATTCCTACTAAGCCTCTCCTGCAAGGGGTATAACTGATATAGTGCTAGACTCCTGGCAAACCTCCGTCCGAACCGATCTCCAATCTTCCCGCGGGACGAGAAACGCGCTTCCTGCAAAGCTATTCATAAGGGCCTGCACACAAGTTTCACAGCTAAAGGCACAAGAAACGAAGATGAAATGATAAGACATGAAGATGTTTGAATAGAGGGAGTGGAAGCATCAGTCAAAGATACCTTATCAGTTCAAAACATTTAGTTGAATATTTCCCACGAAATAATTTCTAATCGGATCCTGTTTGGAGGACAGAAGATAAAATGCACACGTAAGCAATTAGCGCAACAAAGCTTACCGTAAGACAAGTTCAGAGATGCTTTTTAGGCCCACGAATGGAAAAATTGCGGGTTTTTCTTTTTTTTTTTTTTACATAAAATTTCCTCACAGTCGTTGTCATCGTTAAAAAAATGTTACAAAACGGAAAAGCAACTGGCTATTTTGTGAATCACTTATGGGCGAGCGGATTTTGCGAGGTCATCGTGTCAAGGGCTTTATGCCCATTTGCAAATGCGCATTTAGATTGGAGTTACACGTGTTTTAAAAATCGGGAAAATTGCTTGAAAATGTCCTAAATTAAGTCCTCAAAACTTAATGTCAGCACACATATTCGCTGTAAAGTTAACTGACGTTCAAACATCATCATAAAACCAAGATGAGAAAAACATGTCCAACGGTGTCTTTCCCTTCCGGATTGTTTGTTTTTTTTCTCAGCACCTTTATCTTTACCATAGCGGTGTTACTGTAAGAAGAAATTGAATGTTGATCACACTTGGGGTTCAATGGGCTAACTTCTTTTACTATGTACATTCTGTTAATTTCTTCCTCGCGTGTGGCTTCGCATGGTCGGTGCTTCTCATTAAGACATTTAGCGCAATGTTTATAATCGGATTTTGCGCTGTTTAACATCTGCTAATCGCAGTTTACACTCTCGCTTGTACCAGGCATGCATTTGGTAAACATCGACACTTTTTCTCGTCTCACTTCCCGTTGCTCTTTCAGTGCTACAGCACTCAGTCTGGTTACTTTCCTAACCCCACAACTGATTCCTCCATTATATACGTTGCAATACTATTTCCTTTCCTTCAAAAACAGTGCCAAATGCCATCTGAAAATTTCGTGAAGTACTTACGTAAGAGAAGATTAATCCAGCTTCAAACCGCTCTTTTTCAATTAAATCTAATTAATTGTTTTGAGAAGCACTCTTTTGAAAAGACTTGCTAATTAAGATAACAGGCAAGCGAGCAACAAACATAAATTTTCACTTTCACAAGAAGATGATGAATCATTCTTTTATCATTTTTTCGTAAACAACCACTATTGTCTGGGAACTGGTGGTTTCCTACATCGTCACGAATCACAGGAAATAACCAAAAAAAAAAGAGGGAAAAAAGGGAAAAAATACCGGATCCACAATAATTACCCGAGATAGCACTGTCAACTTGTATCTCTGCCCTTTATGAACGAGGGAAATGCTCTTCCGGCGTTTGTTGCCACGAAAACTTCTCAAAACAATAAAAGAGGTGAAGGCTCTTGTCGAGATTGTTTTTTCTAGAATTTATCTCTTAAATGGAAAGAAAAATAATGCAAACAATCTTGAAAGTATGCAAACATGTTTTCTTTTTTTTTGTTTTAAATGTCCAAAATTGTAAATTCAAATGAACTGAAGGCTTTGAACGTTGTTAAATGGTTTCTAAAAATTAATCTCATATCGTTAAAAGTTTAGTTATTTATAGTGACAAAATCGGGTAGTAGTGATGAATACACTTCTGAGAAATGAACTGTTATCGATTGTTTCACGATGCAGTCACTTCCGCTGTGAAGCGCGACCTTTCGACTACCTAATGCAGTAGTCCTTTTTCATGTAACTAATCGACTTCATCGCCCAGAAAAGACTGAATGACAGTAGAAAGCTCACAACGGCATTGGAAAGGACTAGGCATCCTTAGCCAAACGATAACAATTCATTACAAAAAAAATTCATTGCCTGGCTTTTGATCGTTAGCCAACGCGTGAAAATTTATCTCCTAACCTTACATCGTCGACTACCCAGTGCACAGAGACATCGTTTTTTTATGTTGTCGTAAAAATCGTACTTTTCATGCAACTGTACTCACTCCTCACGTGTTATTAAAATCTATAGGGAGTTGAGAGTCTAAAGCTGGACATAACGAAGCACAAATATTTCTATTAGTAAAACGTTGGAGATTAACAGTTGGATACTTGATAATAACTCTCCGGTAAAGCAGGAAAATCAAAGTAGATTTAGAATCGAACGATTATTACAGGCGAGAAGCGGGCTTCAAAAATTGGTACCGTTTGGCACGTAAAACTCTGTCGGTTCACCTCTGAAAGGTGTAGTTAATGGCACAAAGTGAAACTTTAGTGATAGCGTCGGCTTCTTTTGAAAATTTAAAGGGATTAAAGAAATGAAACTTCAAAAAGACTCCATTGAAATGTCAAGAGCCTCGAGAATCCTTATAAACTTTCAAAGAGGCACTGGGGTTTGCCTGCGAAAAAATCCTAAATCTTGGAGCAAAATCCAAAGAAATTCGCATCATCCGAAGCCAATTCGTCTAGACAATAGTTCGTATGAAAGCTTAATATAAAGATCCGCGAGTATTTGTAAAATATCTCATTGCCGATACGTTAGCAGAAAACAAAACAAAGGATTGAAGTGATACTATGGGATCATTTTCGGCGAACTTTCTGGACGCATTTCTGAGGTCAGATCCTAATGAGATTTTCGCAAATTAACTGCCGGATTTTTTCCCTTATCACTTGTGATTTAGCAAATTCCTGAGAAACCAAGGTAAGCCAAGAAGAAAAAGAGGTCAATTGACGTCTCGGACATGCTCTCGTGCTTACGTCCTCAATCAGGAAATACCTCGAGCGCTTGGAGAGGTTTTTGGAGTCGAAAAACGTTGCTTTTAACCACGATTTCCTCGCTGAATTCAATGGAAATGTGTGCTGCGTAACAAGATAAACATTACTAATGTTGTACTGTTGCACAAATGAGTTTTATGTTTTTATAGCAAGAGTCGCATCTGGCTCTAAGAGCCTTGAAATGGATATCCCTCCTCGACTTACGGGACACTTCTAAATTTGTAAACAGCGATATGCATCTTGCTAAATTTAAAGCTTCGAGTGAGAAGTTCCTTAGGAACTTGCGCTCTCAAACTTTGCACGCGAAGTTAGGGAAGAGCAACAGAATAAAATTTTAAAGAACAAAAACAAACTTATTTCGCCAATATTTGGCTGATAAAAGCAAACTCAACGAAAGGATTCAATACTTGACTTTTAATTTGTAGGACTTGTAGTCTGGCCGGCTACAATAGATAATAAGTTATTATTCTAGAGCTTTTTTTAGCTAAGGACCTTAGCCTTAACTTCTAAAATGGTACATAATTTTGGCCTTGAAATTTTAACATCTTGATTTCATATATACAAATAAACAATATACGCAAACATAAATAGGTGAAAGCTTTCATTTGGTTCAGTGTTTTTTTTCGTCCCGAGCCAAGCTGCCGTGTGAGCGGCCTTGTAAAATGTTTATGTACTGTCTATAACTCCGTAGAGCATAAACTTGAGCTCCTGAGCTCGCTGAAGTCGAAAGACGAGACGTCTAAGTCCAGTGAGTGTGATTTGGGCGATCTGTCGATTTTTCTTGTTGAAAAATCCGTGTTCTTCTCTACAACTACTACCCCGTCACTCAAACTTCTTTTGGTGAGGGAAATACGCGAGTCTTGGAGTGGAGCCTGAGTTCCTTTCTTACGTGCTTGGGGAAGAGAGCCTCTCCTGATTAAGTCTTGGTCATTTGGTCTTTCTTGGGAAGATTTTCTTCTATTCTTAGCACTAAGGCCTGTATCTTCCACGATGTCGTATTTTTCAAATCCTCCACAAAGAGCTGCAATGTAAAAAGACAACCGGATATAATGAGCTTCAGCTTCTCAGAACAAAAGGATGAGCGAAAAAAACACGCGTGTCGGAAGGCTTAAGAGAAAGTAACCACCAATGAAACTGTAATCTCAGAAACAAATCTATTTGAAAACTAGTATTTCAAAACTGCCGTATTTCTCTTCATGATCTCTAACAACGACTTTTCGATATTCGTCGGATGTAGACACGAACCAGTAAGATGTGAAAATGGCGTCACTTCGTCAAAAGACCCTGGCTCGACTACAGCTTGGATCCATTTGCTTCAAAAATGCTCTTATTTTGAAGGAAGATATCTGGTCGAAGACGAGCCTTGTTCTCGAATTCTTAGCAATTAAATTGTCAGAGTATTTTACTATTCTTCGCGACACTCTCGTATGAACAATCATTCTCTCTCAATTAAAACTTGCATCAGTTAAGATGCGTGGTAAACAGCGCGGCTTAGGCGAGTAAATAAATCGTCATATCATCTTGAACACCATACCTGATAAGCGAAAGGCGATGTCATGCCAATCTCTCTGAGTTTTCACTTCTTTCATGGTATATTTCTAGCGGCGTTGCCTCTTGTGCAACAAAGTTAGGTAGAATCCTTGAAACGTATTTCACAATCTCTATCTTTTTGCGGTATCCTCCTCGAGCACAGATGTCTATCTAATGACTTCGATGCATCGCGACGCGGCATTTATACGCCCCTCGAGGAAAATGGAAATATCACTTGTCAACGAATCGAATTTGTGGGAACTTGACCTTTGCCATATGGTTCCTGTTTGAGTTGGTAGGAATGACCGTTTCTCGGGGACTATAATTAGACGGGAAAACTCGTCTTATATTACACTTTGTTTATTGCCCACGTAAAATCAATGTTAAACGGTGCAGGGCGACTTTTGCTCAACACTTCTCCTTTTAAGTGCAACAAGAAACGTCCTCGCCTAATCCCACGAAAAATATCATAGTTACTCAGCAGAATCAAGCTATTGTTACCAAATTTTGCAAAAATAGTCAAGGTCTCCTCATAGGTTAATAATAAATTCACACACGCAGTTGGTTCATATCTCTACATGCCATCAAGGTATTCTATTCTTGCATTCGCCCTTTACAATGCATCAGAAATTTCCTTTTTCAGCTTTGACCTGCGTCATATGAGGTCTCTTCCACTGTAATATTCACATCCTTAGCAGCTCATGAACAAAGCAAATAATCTTTCCGGGCTTAGACGTTTCTTACAATGTCATCAAAAGTTACCGCAAAATTCGCCAAAAAAAAAAAAAAAAAAAAAAACTGTGAGTGCCAAATCCCTTGGAAAATCGATTTTATCCAGGTTTAAGACGCAATTTAGGATTATCTGAAAAAAATTTTCATAAACCACTTCTTTTTCGATGGAAATTGAGCTAATGAAATTGACTTACATCAAATTCTGCAAGGGCATAAGATAGAAAAGAATGATTAATCAATGAAACTTCGAGAGACTATTAACGAATACTTCTTGAGGTCAATCCTTTCGATAACGGGTTGAGACCAGAACAATATTGTGAGACGAATATTTACATAGGAGTCATTTTGGTAACCATAGAAGTATCGGTTGACAAACTTTAGCCTGAGATAAAGGAAGTTAAAAAAAAAATATATACAAAAAGTCGAAATTTTCAGCCTTCGATAACTGCTAGGAAAAGAGCGCACGACCTGATTTTTTCGGTTTTTACATTTCGACTATTCAATGCACTTTCATGAACGAGCTACAGTTTTTTTAATGACCCAATCAAAACATTCCAGGCCATTTTCCTAATAGCTTATTGCTATCCAGATAGCGATAATCTACGACAGAGGGTAAATTTCACTCTACACCATTCCTGATTATTATAGAAAGTAGACTACAGCCACGATTTGTATAAAAGAGGCGACAGGTTTTTCTTTAAACTTCTTTTCCTAAAGAGGAGTTAAGATGTCGACGGCGTCCGGCTTTGCTGAAGCTCTAAGTCGTAACTTTTTACTTCGTCCTCAGTATTCATGTATCATATACACTTGGTTTTCTACGTGAGTTTCAAATCCATTTTGGAGTTGTTTTGTATTTTGTGTTTTGTTTTTTTTTTTTACATTGTGCTGCTGAAAGAAGAGTTTGATAATCATAGAAAACGGGACGTCTGTTATCTTACGTGCATCGGCGACAGTCATGAACAGTTTACATGAATCATGAACTGATCATGTGATACTTGCAAAACGTGATTGTCTAATTATCATCACGATGTTTGCGCGTGAATGGTAGGCTGCTCAAGGCGCGCTTGGCGTAAACAGCGGTGCTGCATTTAAGAACGAGAAACGCGTCAGGAATTTGGCCAAAAGTTAACGGCCTCGCGAATCTCATAGAGGGACATCTTTGCTCTGTATCAATTTTTTTTCTGACAATATCCGTAGATGAGCGAAATGAGATAAAAAAAAGAAAATATTTACATAGGGGTATTGCTGTTTTTGATAACAAAATTGTAACTGATAGCAGAGGAAAATCGATATTTTTTGGAGATCGAGCGAGAAAAAAATTCACAGAGTCAATTCTCATTGTCTGCCGTCAATATTTTTACTACTGTTATTCTGCTTGCAAGGGCCGGGGTTTAATTTTGCTTACTGTCTTTTGCTATGTGAGAAGGAAATGGAAATACACTAAGCTGTGCCAGTTTAATCAGATCTACTATAATTATAACGTCAGAGTGACTCTGTGCTTCATGAATTACCAGGACAACTCAAAACACAAAGTGTGAACTTTCTCCAAAAAGCTAAGAAACGTTGCACATCGGAAAAATTATCTTAAAGCTTGCACGGTCATCATTTTTAATCCGTTTTCATGTTCTGGACCTTTTACGACCCACGATCCATTTTCAGCACCTCTTGCTATTTTAATTTTTGTTTATCTTATCTAATAGTATGTAATATTTTGTGGTTTCCTTTACGTTAAAGGTATTTTGTCTCATCGTTTCAAACAACGTGAGATGCAGTGATTTAGCAGCTTTTAGGTGTGTCGACAAAACACAGGTGTAAGGGAAGTTGTGGCAAGTCAAGATTGCGATAACCATACACTTCTCACTGGGGGAGGGGGGGGAACGTCCTCATACGAGTTATTCAGGTATGAGTCATCTCAGCGGGTATGTTTTTCGAAGCCGTTACGGTCAGATTTTGACCAATATGCTTTTAAATTGGGTCTGGTTTCAAGGTAACGTCGAGAGAAAATTTAACCTTTTCATCTCTAACTAAGTAATGAAGTGAGGGAAGTAACTAAAATGTAAGATTATGGCCGAGATTTCTGGAGAATTTGCCAATTTCACCCTCCCTCTACTCCGAAGCCTTTTTTCCTGACGTTACTTTAAATGAGATGCTTACCTTGACTGCAGATATATTTTTATGACTCGAAGTAGACAAGGTCAACAGCTTTGGAGTTCAGTTATTCGTAAGTCGATAATCAGCTGATTATCTATCTTTCCCTCCCAATGTTTGAGTTTAAAATTGGACCAGCAAGTACTCAAATTTCAAATAAAATGTCAAAATCAAACACCCCCTACGTGAGAGAATTGATAAATCAGCTTTAACATCGATAAAGAACATCGACTGTTTGAGTTTATAACATCGTTTTTGGCGGATGATTCTCAATTCATCTTCAGTTTCAAGTGAAACGTGAGTCGTTGTAATAGTTTGAATTGCTTTCAATTAAAAACTTGGCAGAAGCTGGCTTCATCAAGAACGGGAAAACATAACAATCTCGGCTAGGCACAATCTGAAGTACTGCATTTGATTTCTACTCTCTAACTTTCATGTGACCGATTTTACGAATGAAAGGTCAGCTTCAGCCGGATACGCAACTAAATTAATACACAATTCCTACCAAATATATCTTGTTGTGCCTTTCTTTGGCGAGATTTAATCTCCACTTTTTTCCGAAAATAAAGATCTGCGAAATGAAATTAAAAGCTTATCGCGCACTGGCTGATGTTTTTTTTTTAATTCTCGTCAACTGTTGGCTGGATAATGTAGCGATGACATGAGTAGAAGTTACGTGTTGGTCGCTTCTTGGAGTTGGGAACAAAGCATCAAGCACAACTTCAGTTACTGAAATAATTAAGTTATAATTTAGTTTTATATCTTTCACGGATCCTGTACGATTATTTTTTCTTTTGTCTGTTTGTATTTCCTCAAGTGCTTTGTTTTCCGAGCTTAATTCTGAACTGTACTTACTACGTATACAGTATGCAATTTTTTCTTTTTGCTACGAAATTATGGGCCCTCATTTACTCTCAACTGTTGAGGAAGTTACAGTGTTTGCCTCTGCTTGTGCACGTTTCGACCAGCAATTTTCCTGAAGAAGCTTAGGTAGTCAAGCAATGTCTGTAGGATCGTTTTTTACCTTCTTGTTTGTTTGTTTTGTATTTTGTATTTTTTTTAGTCTCTACTCGCTATTGAATAAAGTTTCGGTCTACGCCAGCTTCTCGGATTTGCGTTCGCCGCCATGTCTGAAAAGTTACGTGTTTAAAAGACTTTCCGTATCCCTTCTCTTTGACATAAAGATTAGATTCATTTTATTATATGGTGTGAAGCCTACCGTTAAGGTGCCCCAGACGTCCTTACCTATAACTTAAATTATAACTTAACTATAACATAACAACGATACATGTGTTAGTGTATCAGGCCTTGCAAAGATCTTAATCCTATTATGATCTATCGGTTGAATTGCTCGAAGTGCACACCAACCGTTATTAACCGAGTTCGAGGTCGGTACCGTAAGTTGGCGAATAAGCTCTTGTTTTCCTTCGAACGATGGCCGAATTAAGCACTCAGTTTGGACCATACATCGCGGAAGGTGGGGGGAGAGGGGAGAAGGGGTGAACAAATAAAAATATCTGTGCAATACAGAACGTACCGAGGCTAGTGAGATATCTTGCAGTACGCATTTGGCAACGGAAGCAGCTTTAGACGTTAAGCGGGTCGAACAGTAAAAGAAATGCCAACTAAATTTACCCATTATAGCGCACGTAGTTGTTATGATTAGCAGTAAAGCATCTTTCAATCGACTTCACTCTACGATCATTTTTTTCTTGGTTATGTGCCAGTTTATTTCAAGGCTTGTGAACTTTTAGAATAATTGATGTTCCAAAATATAATGCTCGAACTCACGTCGTAAAGAAAGGCTGAGTATCATCGCTCAGAATTTACCCTAGAACTAATTATTGAGTCTACGCAGTTGATGGTTAATTGACGCCATGGCCTGTCGATCGTTAAACATCGATTGATGATGATTACTTTTCCACGTTCGCGTTTGACAACTTCAGTTGTCATATGAATCGTAGCACGTTTCATCAACGTCGCGAAGCACTGCTCTACTAATGACTCTTTCTTAAGCACGTATCTTAGTAACGCACGAAAATAGCCAAGGAACACGTCCAGTGGTAAATAAACATAGCGTAAGAGTGCCAATACAACAAAACACCTCTTTTTGTCTCTTACTGAATGTCTTGACGTCATTGAAAGGGTACGGAAACTCTAAAAGATTACTAACAAAATG